GGTTATTGAGATTTGGTTGTCTTTCTTCAAGTTCCGTCCCATACAATTGGCTGTTTCCAAGGTGTGCTGCTGCAATTCATCACGGTGGAAGGTTGGATGTGTTCCACTTTTCTTTTTCCATTTTCTCTTACTGTTTCCTACCTCCAGTTGTTCTCTGTCTCTCTATCCTCACTCTGTGTGAAGAGTTATGCTAACCATTATGCACATTTTCTTGTTATTAATGTGTTTGCTTCCCTTTGGGTCTCAATATCTCCAGTGGATCCACGGCTGCTGCTTTACTGGCTGGAGTTCCTCAGGTTTGTTTCATCATTGGGTTTCTGCAACTTATGGCTATCTCTGAAGCCTGTCTGAAATTCCAGAAATTGCAAACGTGAAAGCAATTTATTGTCTATAAAACTTGGTATATTAGGAAGAATCTTGATTCCTTTTTTCCTTTATAAGGTTTCAGATCTGTGGAATCTTCATTTGACTATCATCTTATTTATAATTATGTAGCAATTCATTCTTGCTGGAGTGGAAATATGAGAAAGGTCAATTCAGAGAAGTTATTGTAACGCTTCTGATCTGCGGTTGACTGTCTTTAGGAATAAGATTTTCACCTAGCACATGAGATTGCATATTGTTTTTTAGCAAAACTCATATGTTGTTTAAATAGATTCGTTTGTCAGTTTAAAGTTTAAAGAACTTATGGTATAGAGAACTTAAATTATTGAATATTGGAATGAGACGGATCATAATGAAGCGAAATGAATAGTGAAGATTCATATAGCAACCTGAATTAGTTGGGTTGGAGGCATAGTTGTTGTTTGTTGTTGTAATATATTGATTAAACTACGAATAGAAGCTTAGAAAGATTAAGATTGTCTAAGTTAAAATTTGGTACCATCATGTATATGCGCTCATTTAACCTATAATTGCATTAAAAGTTGGATGGATATTTTCATAGACTGTCAAGAAGATGTCATGGAATGTTTCGATTGATGTGGTGAAATACGGGTGATGTTTGACGTTAAGATTTTAGTTCTGTAAAGGTAAAAGGTCAGAAATTGGTGCAAATTCTCCTACATGATGTCTGCTTTACATAATGACAGGTGATATGTCCATTTATGCTGGACCAATTTTACTGGGCGGAGAGGATGTATTGGCTCGGTGTTGCCCCTGAGCCATTGAAAAGAGAACACTTGGTGCCAGATAAAGATGAAGATTTCTACATCAAGGAAGCTGCAAACATGCTTGTGAGGGCCCTAGACTATTCTCAGTCTTCTGAAGTCAAATCCCGTGCTTTGCAGATTTCTAATAAATTGTCTAATGAGGTAAGATCAATTCTTGATGATGAATAAACACAAGGTCCTTCTATAATCCTACATCATAATGGCTTGCAATGCTGCTGATGCCTGTCAACACTTTCAAATAGATGTGATCTATTATATATTTGTATTTCTAACTTCATTTTGCATATGTATAAGTGATGTGAGTTGAAAGTAATGAATTCAGCTAAACTCGCTCTATATCTACCGCTGGTTGCTGCTATTACTAATACTGTTATAAAGCACATTATAGGCAGTGTCTTTCGCTTCAGTTTAATAGTGAGATTGATATCGTTTGGAAAATGTTCAGGATGGAGTGTCGGAAGCAGTTCATCTCATTAACGAAGAGCTAAGAAGTTGTCGATGATACATACTAGTACTATTTATTTCTTGTTCTTTTGGATAGAGGATGATATTAGTACTGGATTTTTTTTCTTCCTTTGAAACAATTTAAAGGCATTTCATCTGGGTTTTCTCTTTTCTTTCAATTATTTGTAAACACCCTTGCTTGATAATTGAACTTCAGTATTATATTAATCTGCAATTTTTTTAGTTCCTATTATTCTTGATTGGGTTAAAAGAGGATACTTGGACTTGTTACATATTTTTTAGTTGAATTCATGTTTTATAATCAAGGGGAAAAAAGAACGCCCACCGTGGGGCTCGAACCCACGACCACAAGGTTAAGAGCCTTGCGCTCTACCAACTGAGCTAGACGGGCTTTGTTGTGGGACCTATTGCAAGCAATGATTAAGACAGTAAAACATAAAAATGAATAGTATCATACTAGAGCTTCAACATATGAATACTCCTTGTTTAAAAGAACTATGTGCTTGTTTCTAATTTAAATTTAGTCGAACTTTAATACAGATATCAAATATTATTAAGTGAAAAAACAAAAACGAAAAAGGAATGAAGAAATGATTTCCTTCTAGTTCTAAATTTATGTATTGAGGGTTTTCGCCAACCTAATTACAGTCAAATTAATGTGGAGGAAAAATGGAGTAAGAAGAACAAGTTTATCTAAAATCAAATGTTGGGTTGGTGGGCTCAAATAAAGTGTGAAAAAGTAGTTCACATTTTGAAAAGGTCAAAAAGTTTAGATTTAACTGACTCAGTAGTGGTTCATAGGTCACTTGAATTCAATTCATCTCTTGAACCAGTAGTTTTTTCTTTTCTTTCTCGATTCGGTGTCCCGTCTTCACTTTAAAATCACAAAGGGAACTTTGTATCTAGAGAGATTTGAATTCAAGACTTCTGATTAAGGATAAAAAATTATTTATCACTCCATCACAATCTTTATTGGTGAATCAATAATTTCCTCTCTTTTTTTCTCTTGCCACGTGTCGTTCGGTATTCTTTTGAGATTCAATCAAACCGTTCTAGCAGAAACTTTCACTTTGAAGCAAAACATTCTTCACCAAAGATAATTTTATTTTCATAGCTCGAATTCAAAATATCTTATTAAAGTTAGAGATAATTTATACTTATCCTCACAATATCTAGTTAAGTATTTAAAAATATGATAAAATCACTCATAAGTGATCTATCAAATAAAGTAAGAGCAAAATAATGGTAACTTGTCATTTCTTTTTCAAAATTTCCCCTCCTACTCCCACTTTCTCTAGTAGCCAAATCCACTGAGACATAAAAAGTACATAAAATTAAAATAATCCTGCAAATCTGCAAATTTTTTTGACCTTTTACTAATTTTAACTATTTAATTGCCCCTCTTTCTTGACAAATAATGTTGGGTTGGTAGTCAGCATTGAAAATTGAATGCCTTATTTTCAATGATATACGTACAATACGTAGATTGTCTCTCCACTAATTCATCTCTTGCTTTCTTATTGGCGGAATGGTCTGGAAGGCCCTTGTACTTGACTCTGTTTGTATTTTGGACCCCTATACTTACGACTTTGTCAACTGGACCCTTGAACTCGATGAAACACAATATATTAAACACCTCTGACGTTGACTGAACACATGTGACATTAATATTGCTGACTTAGAACGATGTGTAATTCCACGCGTTTTAAAGCAAGTATGTATAAAATTAATATGAAAAAAACATTAAAATTTTAAAAAAATAAATGAAAACAACAAAAAAAAAAGGGGGAAGTCATCTTCTTCAAAGCAACCCATCGCTGCTCCCCCACCCAACCCCCGCCCCAATAAAATTTCTTATACCTATTCCACTTCTTTCCTTCTTTCTTTGGATTCACCCATCATTTCCCTCGTTCTTCTTCTTAACACCCCCACATACTGTCCCACTCCTAAATATTTTCTCAAAGTTCATTCTTTTTGCTGCAAATCAATTTCCCTCCTAGTTCTTTTCGTTTTGCCATGTTTGGTTTTTCAAAATCTCGATTTCGTGCGTATTTTTTGGTGATAATGGGTATTGAAAAATGAAAAACTTCATTGATAAGCTTGATGAAGCTTCAAAAATAACAAATGGGTTTTGTGAATTTATGAAATAAATTTAAAATTGTATAAAGATTTGTTGGGTTTGTGTTTGTGAACCAATAATGTAAAATTCAAGTCAAATTGGTAAGAATTCTATCCATTTAACATGAATTTGTGCTCAATTTGAGAGCAAAAATGGAGAAAATAATAAAAGTTACAGGATATTTTATTTTTTATTTTTTTCGAGATAAATAACTCAATTAAATAGCCAGCATAGTCAAAATAGTAATTGTGATCAAAACTATTGCTCAAAATAGTTGTGTAGCTCATATGTCCTCTGATATTTTCCAAAGTAAGCTTAGAAATTTCTAAAACAAGTAGCCCCTACAAGAGCTACGTAAGCTAATGAAATAACGCATATTAAGTGTTGGTAGCCCTGGTGTAGATCTGCTGGCTTGGAAGATGGAGGTGGAGCCTGTGCCTTCTTGGAGCCATTGATCGGAGAACGATGAACGGAGGAGAGTAGCGGAGTTAGAGGCAGAAATGTGATAGGGGATATGGCTTTTATTTTTATTTTATTTGTCTAATCTTTAATTTCTTATGTGTCATTAAAAATGACGTGGAATCCTACGTGTAAATAAGTGTATCACACGCGCACACATAGGATGAGGAAAGGGTTTAAAATATTGTCTTTCAACGAGTTTAAGGGTTTAGTTGATAAAATTGTAAGTATAAGGATTCAACTTACAAACAGAGCCAAGTATAAGGGCTTACCAGGTCATTCCGCCTTTCTTATTTTTCTAACTTATAAAACTTTTGTGTATATAAAATTTACATATTTAAAAATTAAACGAAATGGAGTATAAGTCAAATGGAACTAACACCTTTGTAAAAATGGGGGCGGATCGAAGGAGTTATCAATTAATGTTTTGTTATAAAAAAGATACTTAATATTGATCTGATTATGTAAATATATATTATAACAACGGTACATCAAAAACCCATTAGAACGATCATTGATTATGCGAGTTCGGACGAACCTAACATGTAAATATTACATTAGAACTCAATTATTATCACTATAAAATTTAAAACTCATAAAAAAAAATTGAAATTCAAACTTCATTTTTGCACCGACATGCTTTTATCTTTTTTTTTATCGGGAGTGGAATATTGTGGACCTACACTACATACTGCTTGACCCAAAACAGTAAATTAAAGAATTCAAGGACCACCACCATCATATTTTTCTCTATAAAATGGGAGTTATACTTGCACAACTAATATATCACACTACTCACTAATATAATTATATATATAGAGTTGTTTTAATTAATTAATTTAGTCAGGGAAGAAGCAGTGCAATGGAAATGAACATGAAAATGGTGTTTGTGTTATGTATTGTGGTGCTCATTCAAACTGAGATGGCTCATGCTGTTGAGTACAAAGTTGGTGATTCTGGTGGCTGGACTTTTAACACTGTTGGTTGGCCTAAGGGCAAACGCTTTAGGGCTGGTGATACTCTTAGTAAGTATGATTTTTCGATATCGTCTCACTTCATGAGTTAACTTTTCTATGGATCCCTTACTTATGGGCATATGTACTGAAAAAATTACTCTCTCCGTTTAAAAAAGAATGACCTCCTTTTCTTTTTAGTCTGTTTAAAAAAGAATGACTTATTTTTTTTTTTGGTAATATTTTAATTTCAGTTTTCCACGTGACATGTTTAGGACCACAAGATTAAAGAACAATTTTGTACATTAGACATAACTTTAATTTAAGACCACAAGATTCAAAAGTTTTCTTTATTTTTTTAAACTCCGTGTCAAATCAAATTAGACAATTCTTCGTGAAACGGAAGGAGTACTAAATAAGCACAAATACTATATTTGAGTTCCATAAATATATCAATTGGATCATATAAAATAGTACAATAACAATATGTTCCTAATTATTTTGTTCACGCTTCAAATATTTGGGCTAAGCATTAAAATGTTAAATGTTCCACAAAAATTTAATACTCCCTCCCCCACCAAAATAAGTGCTTTGTTTTCTTTTTTAAGGTCCCATAATGTTGACTGGTTTTTAATTTTGTTATCCTAAAACTTTTCAAAGAACTACCAAATTTTTTGTTTCATGGGACCTTGTTTTACTATTTTTTAGTGTAATTTTGACTCTCTTGACTCTTGAGGGTAACTCAAAGAGAACTAGATAAGTATTTCATTTGTCCATTTTTACTTGTTCATTATATTAAAAATAGTTATTTTTTCTGTCTCAATTTATGTGACTTACTTCTCTTTTTAGTCAGTCTCAAAAAGAATGACATATTTCTATATTAAGTAACAATTTAACTATAAAATATCTATTTTACCCTTAATGAAATGATTTACAGTCATACAAATTTCTATCATTCATTTTGAACCACAAGTTTTAAAAAAATTTCTTTTCTTTTAAAATTTCGTGTCGAGTCAAACTATCTCACATAAAATGAGACGGAAGGAGTATTTAATAATATTTGTCTAGTTTAAAAAATCAAGAAATTTGTACTTATTTCATCCTTGATATTAAATATTATTTAACATTTACTAAAACATTAAATTTAATATGTTCAAAAAAATAATATAATAATATTGGCTATTGCTCTTGTTATTTATTGTTTCTGACTGTTGTTGGATGGAGGAATTATATTTTTTTTCTTTTGCACCGTCAAATTAAAATGAGTTACCGACAATATATAAATTTAATTTAAAGATACTATCCCTCTGTCTCTAATTACTTATCCACTTTTGAATTGACACATTTGTTAAGATTACAATTATTGATATAGTGAGTTTATCATTTTAATCCAATTAATTATGAAGTAGATGAATTAAAAATTTAAGATTTTCAAGAACTATCTTTTTCAAATTAATTAATTGATGGTATAATAAGAAAAAAAATTGTCCTTTCTTTATTTGTCAAATGGACAAGTAATTAAGAATAACTAAAAAAAATGGACAAATAATTAGGGACAGATTGTTGTTCTACTACCACTTTTAAACCTAAAAAATTCACTTTCACACTTGTGTTATAATGACAATGATTCTTAATGTTATATTGACGTTAATGATAATTACACCTACCAATATGTGGTCCATTGAGAGACATGTTTTATGATTACATGTAACGCATTTATGTTCCAACCAATTCTGATTTTGTACAATATTTGTTTGTCACCCACAATTATTTCACTGCAAGAATAGTACTACTATAGTATATTATCTCCTTTTAAAAAAATTATAAAAAATTCTGAATACGCTACTGCAGCATTCAACTACCCTAATGGTGCGCACAATGTGGTGGTGGTGAATAAAGCTGGTTATAACGCGTGCAGCACACCAAGAGGTGCAAAAGTGTACAGCAAAGGGGGTGACAAAGTAAAGCTAGTAAAGGGACAGAACTATTTCATCTGCAATTATGCTGGTCATTGTGAGTCTGGAATGAAGATTTCTGTCTTTGCTATGTGAAACTACCAAATCAATTATCCTATAAACTTTCTATCATGTGTCACCTATGTTGGTGTACTAGTACTACTACCATATAATATGACAAATAATGGATTAATATGAACTTTTTGTTACTTCTATATTAGATTTTATGTCTATGAATGCGTAGACAAAGTTATTTGATATTTGTACTGACCGAAGGTAATAGGTACTTCGACATATTTGTACTGGCGGAAAGTAATAGGTACTTTGACATTTACCTCGCTAGTGGCGCTACTAATAAGAAAATATTCGAAAAAACTACCAGAAACTTTAAGTTAAGCGATGAACTGATGATAAATGATAATTATAATATTTTGGCCAAATGCCTCAAATAGTTCAACATTAATTCCACATTATATATACATATATCTATCAAAAGAAAAACTACTTAATTAGGCAAACATTCTTTATCGTATTTCTAATTCTTCGGTTCTTTCTTCCTATAGTTTAAAATAATTACATATTATCTCACTAATTAATAATTATGTATCAAAGTTCAAGTCAAATAAACTTAATATATGCATCCCAGATACATGTGAATTCACACATAATTTTGACCTCATGTATCCAAGATACATGTATATGAACGTGTATTGATGCGTCAAATACATGTATCCGAAGTCTAATGAGATTTTAAAATAAAAATAAAAATAAAAAACATTTTCCAGCTGAATTGTGCAAAGGGAGATCTGTAATTTGTGATCTTCAAGCCCATTGAGGAATACAGAAATGGGCCTAGAGAGTAACTAGAAAATGGCCCATTGGTCCTAAAAGTAGGAAAGTCGAGAATATGGTAGTAATTGGGATACAGCAATTAACTGGAAATATTTTTTGAAATTGACATAAAATAGCCGTCACCTAAAAAAAAATAGCCGTTATAGCCGAATATAAGTACTTTTTGTCAAGATTTAACTTCATGTAAACAATTTAGTGAATTCCAATCTATAAATCGTCCATACCTAGAAATTAGAACGATTAAAAGATAAGGGGAAAAAACGCTTATACCACAAAAAAGTAAAATATTTATCTTTAAATATTTTATTATTTTCATACTCTATTTTTATTTTAAAATAGAATATATCTATTTTTATTCGCGCGTTGATAACATGTTGACATCAGCGCCCACATTTTCCCTCTATGATACTATGATACCATCAAAGTAAGTATAATATACAGTGATGGTATCAATGAGTAACTGAGAAATGTTCTCAATGAGTAAATAATTACACAATTGAATCTATTTTATGTAGTTTTTCAAAAAGATAATTTTAGTTTTCTACACAATAAAAGTCAAAATTTTCAATTTTCACTAAACAATATACTTTTTCAGTTTCCTGTAACATTTTTTCCTTTTTAGTCCTTCGAAAAAATAATGATATTATTCATATTTGGTAAATAATTTAATTTTAAACTTTTCATCTACTCTTAATGAGATGATTTATAAGTCCATAAAATCTTTAAACTCTATTTGACCAGAAATTTCAAAGGTCTTTTATTTATTCTTAATAAAAAATTGTATTCAGTCAAATAACTTTACAGGAGTTAAATTTCATAAAATTAACATCAAATGGCCAACACTAATATCATCAAAATCTAGAAATATATACATTAGCATTAATTAAGTAGTCTAGCTAGTACCACTATAAAAGGTTGTAACTAAAAGCATTCATCTAAGTTCAAGTCTATACAATTAACACCTTATAAAATTCTAAAAAACTTTAAATTAGACAAATTTTCATTTAGAGAAGTAGAAAAAATGGCATGGAAATTAGAAGGATGTGCTATTTTTTTGGTAATATTCATGATGTTGTTTGCCATCCAAATAAGTAATGCATCAACAACTTATAATGTTGGAGATAGTAATGGTTGGACATTTGGTGTTAGCAATTGGCCAAATGGCAAGAATTTCAAAGTTGGTGATGTGCTTGGTATGAAATTACTAGTATATCGTTATTATGCCCTTTATTCATTTTTTTTGTTTAAATGCATATCAAAACACAATTTTAAAGGAATTTATTTAGTATTTAATACTTTGCAACTTTCATAACTTTATTTTATTTTATTTTATTTTGTTTTATTTTGCAGTATTCAATTATCCGAGAGAAATTCACAATGTGGTTATAGTGAACAAGGTGGATTACAATAATTGTAACCCTTTAGGAAAAATGTTTAATTCAGGGAAAGATGTGATAACTCTTAAAAAGGGCACAACCTATTTTATTTGTGGTGTTCCTGGTCATTGTGATGGTGCCCAAAAAATTGCAATTACTGCTAATTGATTAAATAAATATTGTTTTCTTTCTATCATTTTTGATTTGTTTGTCTCTCTTTCTTTTTTTAAATCATCTGAGAAGAGGGAAAAAAATGTAAGAAGTAACAAATGATTGAATCATAATTTTGAACTTTTAATTAACATGAAGTAGTATTTTAGTAGCTAGTGATGACTAATTTGGTTATTGTAATACTTAAATTTTTGATAAATTTTAGTTAAACTCTAATGATAAATGAGTGGAGTCGCGTATTGAGGAGAAAAAGTAAAAAGTTTATATTATCAAAATACGAATATTTATCCAAGCATTCATTTTTAAAATCATTTATTCATACCACTAAATCAGAGGTATGCCTACTTAAAAGTAGGCAATATAAAAATGAAAAACATGAAAATTTAATATATAATTAATTCTTTATGTATTAGAACTTGTTATAGAATTAAATATGTTGATATGTTGTAGCTGATAATTAACTAACCCTATACATAATGTTTTTAAAATTAGTTTTACCTATTTACTAGTATATTTTTTCCCTAAATAGGATACTCTGCGAAATCTAAATTACGTGAAGTCTTCACTTTCAATGCTGCACTCGTGTCAGATTCTCCAAAATACACTATTTGGAGAATCCGACACACACCCGTTAAGGCCAAATTACTTCTCTCTAATTTGCATTCTTCAATCCCAGAGAAGAATACAGAACTGGGCCAAGCAAATAACTAAGAAATACCCATTGGGCCTAGAAAAGGGTAGTCAAGAATTGGGCCTTAACCTCACCTCCTTCATTGAAGTCTAATGGGATCCGGCATTCTTTTGTTCAATTTTCTGTTCGATTTTGTACCCTAACTATAATACTGAGAAATTGAGAAAATAAACGAATTGAAATTTGAATTACTTTCTTAATTTTTCGTCTTTAAAATTTGAGGTTAGAGCGGATTTCACAAGAATCTAAAGATTCAAATTTGTTGATTTTGTTACTCAAGGGCTAAGCCAGTGTTCAAAACACTTTTTTATTATGTTATTAATAGTTTGGAAATGAATTTATGTTATTCAAAGGTTAAAAACAAATAGTTTTAATTATCTAATATTTAAATATAGAGATAACATTTCAATATTCAAAGACGTATTCAGATTCAAACATCTTACCGATTTGAATTAGGTAAATTATAAAAAAAGACGCTTATCATTTTATGTTTCAAGAAATACATTACTTAATGTCTTGTAAAAAATAAAAACAATAAGATTTATAGGATATTGAAAATTCCACTCACATGTTCATTAGTAAAATTTATTTTTACCCAAAATAATAATGCTTAGTTTTTTCATTCAAGTAGGCAAGTAAACACATCTATATGGACGAAAGAAATAAAACATTATATTCTATAATTATTAGTACTCCAAAGTTACAATTATTGACTAGAATGAAAATAAGACTATTGAATTGGAGTAAATTAATTGGCTGTAACAGCTACCTTGACACCATTAGCACAGTGTGGTCCGATAGTACAAATGAAATATGATGTTCCTTGTGTGAGAATTATTTTATCATCTCCGGAAGCAAAAACTTGTCCTCCAGCACCATTACAAGAGTCAAACCCTGCTTGGTCCACCTTCACCACATTGTGCGCTCCGGCTGGATACTTAAACTCTGTATTTTTATTAACATGAAAAAAGTACATACACATTAGTCACAGTTTTTCATCATTATTTGAATAGTAAATTTACCATTAAATTCTTACCGATAACATCGCCAGTCTTGAAAGTCTTGCCATTAGGCCAACCATTCAACTTGAAACCCCATCCATTAGCATCACCAGCAAGAAATGTATCTGCTTTTGAAATGTTGGTTTGAAGCAAGATGCAAAGCATCATAGCAAAGGCAACAATTGTGACTTTGTTTACTCCAGACATTTTTGAGAATGAATATATTTTATTAACTAGATAGATGCAAAAAGGGGTTAGAATAAAGGCTTAGTGTTGTTGTGCCAATTGAGTAAGAATGTAGGCCTTTATATAGGGAACTTTACAGATACAAAATCATAATATTGGAACCTTTTATAGTAACAAAGTTAAAAAATGTCCATTTTTGTAATGACTTACTAACATTTTACAATATGAAAAAAGGGAAAAAATTGAGTGAGTTACCAAAGATGCAAAAATGAGATAGATATCATTTGAATAGTATTTTTTTAGGAAAAAAGATAAATGCAATTCTTTGACTATTGAAGTGAGGAAGAATTCACATTAGGGGAAATATATAATTAAAATTCCTAATATGTATAGTCCATTATAGTTCGTTACATTTTACAACTTCAACTTCTATCAATAACCAATTAGTCCCCCTTTTTGTCCCAAGAAGTTGTTGACGTTTATTTGGTTACTATATTTTGAGATTTCATATCACGTGGACAATTTCTTGTTTGTCTAGTCGGTTATTATGTTATGAAAATTAAATATCATGATTCAATCACTTATTAGTATCATTAATTTTGAAGTCGAACAATTAGGTCTCATTGGTTCAAAATCATATTTTTTTAACTGAGTGTTAGTCTGGAAACTCACAAACATCTTGACTCTTGAGGATATTTACTAGTATATTTTTTCCCTAAATAGGATACTCCGCGAAATTTAAATTACGTGAAGTCTTCACTTTCAATACTGCACTCGTGTTAGATTATCCAAAATACACTATTTGGAGAATCTGACACACACCCGTTAAGGCCAAATTACTTCTCTCTAATTTGCATTCTTCAATCCCAGAGAAGAATACAGAACTGGGCCAAGCAAATAACTAAGAAATACCCATTGGGCCTAGAAAAGGGAAGTCAAGAATTGGGCCTTAACCTCACCTCCTTCATTGAAGTCTAATGGGATCCGGCATTCTTTTGTTCAATTTTCTGTTCGATTTTGTACCCTAACTATAATACTGAGAAATTGAGAAAATAAACGAATTGAAATTTGAATTACTTTCTTAATTTTTCGTCTTTAAAATTTGAGGTTAGAGAGGATTTCACAAGAATCTAAAGATTCAAATTTGTTGATTTTGTTACTCAAGGGCTAAACCAGTGTTCAAAACACTTTTTTATTATGTTATTAATAGTTTGGAAATGAATTTATGTTATTCAAAGGTTAAAAACAAATAGTTTTAATTATCTAATATTTAAATATAGAGATAACATTTCAATATTCAAAGACGTATTCAGATTCAAACATCTTACTGATTTGAATTAAGTAAATTATAAAAAAAGACGCTTATCATTTTATGTTTCAAGAAATACATTACTTAATCTCTTGTAAAAAATAAAAACAATAAGATTTATAGGATACTGAAAATTCCACTCACATGTTCATTAGTAAAATTTATTTTTACCCAAAATAATAATGCTTAGTTTTTTCATTAAGTAGGCAAGTAAACACATCTATATGGACAAAAGAAATAAAACATTATATTATATAATTATTAGTACTCCAAAGTTACAATTATTGACTAGAATGAAAATAAGACTATTGAATTGGAGTAATTTAATTGACTGTAACAGCTGCCTTGACACCATTAGCACAGTGTGGTCCGATAGTACAAATGAAATATGATGTTCCTTGTGTGAGAGTTATTTTATCATCTCCAGAAGCAAAAACTTGTCCTCCAGCACCATTACAAGAGTCAAACCCTGCTTGGTCCACCTTCACCACATTGTGCGCTCCGGCTGGGTACTTAAACTCTGTATTTTTGTTAACATGAAAAAAGTACATACACATTAGTCACAGTTTTCATCATTATTTGAATAGTAAATTTACCAATAAATTTACCGATAACATCGCCAGTCTTGAAAGTCTTGCCATTAGGCCAACCATTCAACTTGAAACCCCATCCATTAGCATCACCAGCAAGAAATGTATCTGCTTTTGAAATGTTGGTTTGAAGCAAGATGCAAAGCATCATAGCAAAGGCAACAATTGTGACTTTGTTTACTCCCGACATTTTGAGAATGAATATATTTTATTAACTAGATAGATGCATAAAGGGGTTAGAATAAAGGCTTAGTGTTGTTGTGCCAATTGAGTAAGAATGTAGGCCTTTATATAGGGAACTTTACACATACAAAATCATAATATTGGAACCTTTTATAGTAACAAAGTTAAAAAATGTCCATTTTTGTAATGACTTACTAACATTTTACAATATGAAAAAAGGGAAAAAATTGAGTGAGTTACCAGAGATGCAAAAATGAGATAGATATCATTTGAATAGTTCTTTTAAAGAAAAAAAGATAAATGCAATTCTTTGGCTATTGAAGTGAGGAAGAATTCACATTTGGTGACTATATTTTTAGATTTCATATCATGTGGACAATTTATTGATTGTTTAGTTGGTTTTTATATTTTGAAAGTTGAAACGTGAATCAATCACTCATTAGTATCATTAATTTTGAAATTGAACTGTTAGGTCTCATTGGTTCAAAATCATATTTTTTTTATTTGAAAACATACGAACATCTTAAGGATATAATTATATCTCAACTTTGAGACGATTTGGTGAGATTTTGAATTGAATTTCATATTGAATTTCGAGATTGAAGATCATAAGAAGTATAACCTCATGTGTATGTCGTTTATTTATCATATGTCAAATATATTATTGATGCACATGATATACATAGAATATATACCAAATATATAGATGATATACATAGCTGCCGTCTTCGCAAAATATGACTTCAATATTATTTTTTTATATCAAAACTAGTTTGAAACAGTTCTAAATGCACCCAAACTTTATAATCAACTCCTCCTAAATGTTTCTAATAATATCGAGTAATACTCAATTATGATACCATTGTGTTTTGGATTCATCGAGTGCATTTAAATATGAAAATGAATATTATTATTAATTAAGTTACGTAATTGATTGAAAGAATCTATAAAAAAAAATTAACAATGGTTGTGGCAGAATCATAAGTACTTCTTCATTTTTAATCAAAGATTCTAGTTTGAGTCTCCTCGGGTACATAGTCACCTTTGTTAGGAAGCATTTTACCTCCCAATATGGGACTTCCCAACCCATATTTGAATTTAATTCGGCTCCAATACGACAACCGAACCAATTGGAAAATAATTATCTAAATCATTTGTCAAGTTTAATACTTTAATTGTTCAAGAGAATTGTTTGAAACCTTTTTTCATACTTACTCTTCGTTTAAAAAGGTTCTTAACTACTTACATTTTCTAATAGAATAGTTCGAGAATAATCAAAAGAGTAATAGTGAAAAATAGTCTTTAATTTATGTCCTTAAATATTATTTTTTTAAGGGCGTGCCAAATCCCAATAATTCAATTAATATGGACTAGAGGGAGTCACACTAGACGCATGTATTTGTATGTATATGGAGTGACTCACATGTAATATCAAATACATGGGAGAGTGGCGAGCGAGATGAGAAAGGGACAAGGGAGGCGAGGAGATCCCAAATACATGTCAATCCACTTGGATACAATGTATCTAGAACAAATTACACATAAATTTGATCACATGTATCCGAGATATATGTATCTAGACGTATCTTGAAGCATCGAAATCTTATAAGATACGTAATATTGCAAACTAGAGTATATTTAAATAGTTAGCTCCTAAACTAGTGAGATTTATGAAAGTTTCCTTTTCAAATCGGGTCCCCAAAATTCAACTAATGTTGTGTTTCTCCATTTTATAATTTTAATTTTAAGAGTAAAATTTGAGTTCACATTAATTAAATAATTATAATTATAATTATATGATGATTTTTTGATAATATATCAGACAGATTTAACATAAGTACCGAATAAAATTAACTTCATTAAATTGATTTTTGAAAAAATAAAATAAAATGATTTAGAACCTAATTTTGTGAATTTGAATGTGATATATGCTGGACAAGTTCTTTATCAAAAATGACAAAAAATATTATGAGTCACGTATATTAATCACATCTTCTTCTTTTTATTTTATTTTTCTGTCAAAATACTTATGAGTTATTAAATTATAAATTCTCTGGAACACCATCAATATTTCTCTCATTTCTCTATGTAATTTCTCCTTCAGTAATATAATCATATTCTTTTCTTCTTCTTTTTTAAAATTATATTAATCTTTTTTCTTTTATTCTTGATAGTTCTATGTACCCAAAAAAATTAATGTTAAGATCCACAAAATGTATGAAGTGGACATGAATAAGATTTCTCGAGACTTAATTTTTATTAATGTCGTTTGTTTGTTTATAAATGTCCTTTGTTTGTGAAGTACTTGTCATTTTATTTTACTAAGTCATTATAAGAGTAAAAAAAAAAAAGACACCTTGATACATAAAATATTTGCATTAGCAAAATTTAGAAAAGAATCGCACCTCAAGAGATGTAAAGCTTATACAACTCTTAACCTAGAAGTAATTTAATTTGGTCATACTTTTCAAAAAAAATTGTAAATCTTGAAGCCTAATTTTTAACCAGTTGTATATCTTCAAGTTATATACACATGTGAATTGTATACTTTAAAGATATACAATATACAAGTGTTGTGTAATTTTTTCGAGTGAATAACTTAAATGATCATATATTAAAGAATCACATTCATTCATCAATGTTGCGACAAAAGAAGAACAAAGTGACAAAATAATTATGATAATTTTCTTTTCACTTAAAGTACTCCACAAGCAAAACTCATGTTTACATATCATGAAATAAAATATTTTATATCATCGATACTCGAAGTCATAATTATAAATGTGAAACAAAACCATTACGTTTCGATACATATAATTTGAAACAAATTAATTAGCAGTAATAGCAGTCTTGACACCTTCAGAACAATGTGGTCCGATAGTACAAATAAAATATGATGTCCCCTTTTCAAGTGGTATTTTGTCATCTCCTGAATTGTAAACTTGTCCTCCACTAGTTTTGCAAGAGTCATATTCTCCCTTGCTCACTTTTACCACATTGTGCATATCAACTTTATATTTAAATTCTGTAAAAAAAAAAAAACGTATAAATATGGTCAAGAAATAAAATTAAATAGTGAAAATGACGTGAATAGATGATTTGTTTAACCAAGATTTTATTAATGAATTCTTACCAATAACATCACCAGTGTTGAAAGTTTTTGCCGTTAGGCCAACCATTCATATTAAAACCCCAACCTTTATCATCACCAGCAGGAAATGTAGCTGCATTTGAGATGTTGGATTGAAGTAAAATGCACAACATCATAACAAGGACAATAATTGTGGCTTTGTTCACTCCAAACATGTTGAAAATAGATATATTAATTAGATATATGCAAAAAGGATTAGAATGAAGGATGCTCTTAATATTGGTGTGCTAATTGAGTAAGAATATAGGCCATTATATAGGTATTTTTCTCACACATTTAAACTCAATATTTATTGAATTTGAAATATTTTATGTATTGGTATTGATGTTACTTTTATCTGTAATTAATTATAATTTCCTCATATTATAATGTGTGGAGACTTTAGTGTAACAAACTTAAAAAGGTCTTTATTTCTATGTTGACTCAATAAAATGTTATTAAAGCAAAAAGGGGGAATTCAATAGAGCTTCTAGAAATGCAAAGTGAATAATATTGTTGTGGGTGAAAAAATAATAATAATATTGTTGTGGAATATATTATAAAAAGAAAAAATTGATATGTTTTTCACAGAGCAAAGTGAGAAGAATAATTTGCTAAGTATTATTTTAAAGGAAATGTAAATTCTTAACTAATATATTGAAATTTTATACATTTTCAACTGACCTTTTAGAGTTATTCATTATTGTGTAGCTATTAAATTTTAGTGTAAAGTACAAAAATTTCATAAATTTTGGGGGCCAGTTACATTTCATCTCGAAAGTTTCTCCAATTATAAAATTTTCAAACTTATCATTGCTCTCGGATGATTTCTTGGTTGTCCGATACATTGTAAATGATACACTACTTAATGGGAAGGATGTAGCCTAGAGATGTATTTGAGAGGAGATTTTTGTTATTTTTTTAAATGGTGAAAATTTTAGAGATTATGATATCTTAAGTTGTACAGTGTATTTATGTAATTTTTCTTAAATTCGATAACCTACTGAAATCTCACTAGCTTATGAGTTAATTACTAAGATATTGTCATATTACGGGTCTTCTCAGATTTTTGTACGTTGGATACATCAAGATACACATATTTGAGATACATGTGAATCACACTATATACTGTACCTGGTGTCGTTCGCATGCATCTTAGATACATAAACAAATCTCGTTCACTGCCCTCATATATCGCTCGGATATTTGGTATCCCATGCGAATAACATAAGATACATGTATATATTGTGTATCTAATGTGATTCACATGTATATGAAATACATAGATAAATCTCACTCGCCGCTCTAGCCACCCTGTCATCTCGCTCACCACTCTCATATATCGCTCCTGTATATGATGTCCTAGATACATGTGAATCATGTATCTAGCTTGAACTATGGTATGAAATTATTAAATAGTGAAATAAAATGTAATCATTTCAAACCATAAGGAGAATTAGTAAATATGGTAGGAATATCTGTATAATTAGGTAGTTTTCTTTTATAAACCTTAATAAAAATTGAGTTGAGTTGAGTCTTGATTTGTTTGATAACCTATTATCAAATCCGTTGTTGATCAAACAAATTTGAATTGAATCTTGACACATTTGTTATCTTGAATATTTGTGTAATTAGGTAATTTCTTTTATAGAACTTGATAAAATTTGAGTTGGGTTGAGTCTTGACCTGTTTTATAACCCATTATCCACCTATTTCAACCCAACCCGTGATCCAAACAAAGTTGAATTGAATTGGATCTTGACCCTTTTACTGTCTTGATTAATTATGACTCACCAAAATCTAACCCAACCCGTCCAATTATCACCACTAGATCACTCCTTCGTATGTTACAAATTTTCTTTTGCACAAACTTTTCTATTTAATAACTTTATATTCATAAAAAAAAACTTTTACAAGTGAAAAATAATTAAAGAGAAATTTTTCAAAACAATAATATTTAGCATTTAATAGGACCTCATAGCCACACTTTCAATATGTATTAAAAATATCAATATTTTAGTTTGTTATATTGTTGATTTATGTATTTTTTTTTTCCATTTATTTAATTTGAAAAAATGCAATTAGTTAATAATAGAATGATGAAAATAAGGGAGAGAATATTTCAAATAAGGTAAAATCATTGAAATTCCTCCTCAGTTACATTCCAAATAAAAATCGACATGCCTTCTCTCTCCCTTATTCCTTAAATCTTCAACATTGATTTTCGACACTCCATTGATAATATTCAATCTATGCCAAATTGAAGTCGATTAATTTGAGATTATTGCTGCTAGTGAAGAAGATTTTAGAATGAATGCAAAATAAAAATTAAATACAAAACTTGTTGGCATACAAAGTGAAATTGAAATAAAAAGTGAGATTGAAATACAAAGTGAGCACAAATAAATCTTGTTGGCATACATTTAGAATGAATACAAAAAAAAAAAAAAAAGAAATACAAAACTTGTTGGCATACAAAGTGAAATTGAAATAGAAAGTGAGATTGAAATAAAAAGTGAGGTTGAAATTCAAAGTGAGCATAAAAAATATAAAACTTGTTGGCATACCTTTAGTCTTTAGAATGAATACAAAATTAAAAAGATACAAAACTTGTTGACTTACAAAGTTAGATTGAAATACAAAATGAGCACAAAAAATACAAAATTTGTTGGCAATATAATTAGAATGAATGTAAAATAAAAAAGAAATACAAAATTGTTGGCATATAAAACGGGTTGCTATCGATCTCATTGAAATATCAAGTAATCTTACAGGGCTAATAGGCCCAATGTTTATTGGGCTTCATTTTTCAATATTGGGCCCCCAAAACCCTGCTAACGCTGTGTTTCTCCACTTTATAAACCTCTCATCATCTCAAATCTCAAAACCCTAGCAGCAAGAACTCAGTAACAGCAGCCCGAAGAAGCAGACCGCCATTTTCTTGTCCTTTAAGGTACAAACCCTAACCAATTCCTCTGCAGTATCATAAGTTCATCTATATATGAATTAGGCATTTTCTCCGTAGGAGTTTCAATATTGGTGAAAAAATTGCAGGAACAGGTAATTCGTTTGAGTAGAAAATGTCGATCGGAGAAATTGCTAGTACCTACGCTTGTTTGATCCTTCACGACGATGACATTGCCATCACAGTTAGTTTCTTTGCCTGATAAGTTTTATCCGGATCTGTTTTTATCGTTTTGTGAAGTATTCATTGTGGTTTGTTTTGATTTTAATAGGCAGAGAAGATTTCTGCTCTTGTAAAAGCAGCAAATCTCACAGTCGAGCCTTACTGGCCTCTCTTGTTCGCCAAGCTTGCCGAGAAGAAAAACATCTCAGATCTCATCATGAACGTTGGTGCCGGCGGTGGTGGTGTCGCTGCCGTTGCTGCCCCCGTCGGTGGTGCCGCCGCTGGTGGTGGTGCAGCAGCTGCCCCTGCTGCTGAAGAGAAGAAGGTAATGAACTATTTCATCTTTCTTTTTTTTCAGAATTCGTTTAACCTCGAGTTGCATATTTAAAATTAACTGAGTGTTAATTTTTGTTTTATGTGTGTACAGGAGGAAGCAAAGGAAGAAAGTGATGACGATATGGGATTCAGTTTGTTCGATTAGAAAGCTACCGTTAGTATGATCTGTTCTTTTGTTTCCAAAAAATATTGGTTAAAGTTTTAGTTTTGATGTTTGAGATATTTGGAAAGTTTAAGAGTAACATTTAATCATCAGGAGGTTATGTACTCCTGTTATGCTAGTTTGAGCCATTTTTGTCAGTTTAATCAAATGTTTGTCCTTCTATTGTTAAAATTTAATTATCTGTTTTGTTATATTGTCACTGATCTTTTACTTATTAAGTGTTACTTAACAAACAATAGAATGCTCTTAGTAACCACGAAACATTCCATGCTACTTTAGAGTCCCTGTCTTGACAATTTGCAATGTAAGGCTATGCTACTGTAGTTTTGATTTTGAGACAGTTGGTGATGCAGCTTAACTGCCTGAATGGATCTTGATTTGGAAATGTCTTCCATATTTATATGATATGCATTTGAGCTGAGCTTTCTTCTATTCTTGATAAATTGTTCAGTAGATACCAGTTGCAAACGGCGTAGAATAAGTTGTTTTAGGTAGTAGTCATTTGCAACTGGTGTTGATGAGATATGTTTTCTATGGAGTTCTTTGGCGGCAATCTACTGGCAGTTTTAGAATGTTGAATAATTATCTGTCCTTGGATTAATGTAAGTTGGATGCTAGCCTTTTGATATTTTCTTTGTCCTTAGGCCTACTACTCTACTGGCCTTCCTCTGTTCATTTTAGTATACATCAAAGTGGAGAAACTTGGTTTTATCTATCCCCAAGCAAATGGCCGATTTGAGCCAAGAACCAGCTTCAGCATGATGTAAAGAATCATTGTATTCACTATTTGATACTAAATTCTTTATGAAGTGGTTTGCATTTGCTATTTTTCGTGAATGTCTTTTGAAGTGATGGTCCTATTGAAACAGATATGAAATTAGTGTAGTGGATTACATTTCTGTAGTCAAGTCTTCATTTTAAATACAAATGATATTATTATAAAGCCACGAACTGTGAATTTGAGTATGGAGTTTCCGTCTGTTGAAAGTGTAATACTTTTATGTGGTGAAGAATCCTTCAAGTCACTGTGTCCCATGCTTGTGATTTAAATGATATTTGTGAGTAACTGATGACCGTAGTATGTCCATTCGTTACCTCTTTAACTATACTTGTACCTCGTTTCTCCCCCTACTACCTAGAAATCTATGCTTGAATGTAAAACTTGTACTATTATTGTCGATGGTTAAGTTGGTAATGGCTTCGTGCAACTATCTGATTGTCCTGACTCCTGAGTTGTCATTTGAGTTAAACTAATAAACCACCTAGAGAAGGTCACTTGAATATACTTGAAAAAGGTTTGTAAGTCGAGATGGATTTGTATAACTTATAACATGAACGTTGCTTGCACCGTTCTTAGTTTAATGGCACCTTCTTAGCCATGATCGCCTCTTCCCGTTTTCTACCAAATGCAAGACAAGTTCAAAATCATTCAACTTCTGAAGAGGTTTGTTAACAAAAAACAACAGAAGCCAACCAACACTGATGTAGCTAGACAGCAAAGGAGACGCCTTTGATAAAAATAACATGTCTGATGTATGTAGAAGGCAATAGATTTGGAACATCAACTTGACATCGTAACAACATATTATCCCCATGGACTTCAAACTCGAAAGTGGATCAGTAACTATCAAATGTAGTAAACAGTTTTTAGAATCTTAAACACAGACTTGCTTGAGATTTGGACAAGAAAAAAAATGAAGGATATCCTCCTCGTTGACATCGATAGTGATTTTAGATTACAAACAACAAAAAATCCCACGGTAAGGTAGACCTTATCACTACCTTGTGATGACATGGAAATTGTTTTTGAAGGACCCGACTCAAAGAAAGCTTAGCTTGCCACTATCGCCAGACAGCAATTTCTCAATGTCAGGAAAATAATAGGTTCTTCATCCAACATGAAGTCCCCAGCCAGTTCCTAATTTCAATTCAAATAATATAATCAGTAAAACTAATCCAACAAGATGGATTAAACATCAATAACAAAAGGTACCTGGCTCTAATTGTTTGAAAATACTTATTACTGTGTAGAACCACATAAAGACGTATCATCCAAAAACTGTTCAGTGCAACAGAATTGAAAACTCTGTGATCATCCAAAAGCTGTGTCTTCTCAATGTTCTCATCATCAATATAATCGATCTTGGCTTTGGTTGATCCTTGGGTTTGTCCGTTACAAAAAAATCATCGATTCAATATCATTCCATATATAAGAAATCAGAAATAATCAAACTAGGACTCTTTATCCATATAAGAAATACAAGTAGTATTATTTCTGCAAAAAGGTTTGCTTTTCTTGAATTAGTAATGGAAATTTCATCCTAAGAACAACAAGTACAGACAACAACAGAATGGGGATTCATGACCATTGCACATATATATGAGCGTACACATCACATGCCAGTGCCACCATCAATTTTATACACAATAATAGTGATAACACCTTAATATCCAATAGATACAGGTAAACAACAACAACAAGAATATACTCAGTGTAATTCACAAGTGAGGTCTAGAGAAGAACTAGAGTACTATATGCAGATCTTACCCCTATATATCCATATGTTGGAGGTAGAGATGGAGGTTGTTTCCATACGCACACAAAGTAATCTGTGAGGTTTTCTGATAGAGAGAGCTGCAGAGCTAGTTTGGCACTTTGGCCCCCTCCTCAGTCCTCAGTAAGCTGGGAGGTGGACAGAATGCCAAAATGGCTCTACACTGATACTCCTAAGAAACTCTTTTAGTACACCATCTTCCAGCAGATGCAAATATATATATAAGTTCCTTATGAGAGAGGGCTTTGATTTCTATATATAAATTTAGGCTATGACTCTACATAGTGTTTTTTCCTTCTTTAGGGGCGGATGTATTGTATATATTATGTTAGCAAACTTTTTCAGATCTCACTGAATATGTTATTATTGTTTTATGTTGAATTTCTACGCATATAATTCAAATCTCGAACCCATGTCCTATATCTTACTTTGACTTTTTGAAAGTCTTTTATGTTGAAAAAAAATGAAAAGAAAAGGGGAAAGTGGGTGCATGAGCGTGCATGGTGGTTGTACGACTTAGTGGGAGGTAAAAGGGAAAGTTCACAAGTAAAAATAGTGTTGTTTTTTTTCCTTCTTCTTTACCTCATTCCCACGTTAAACTTGTAAGAAAGATTGAAAGGCTGCTAGCTCTAATTTGCTTCAGTACTCTATCTTGTACTTTATGGACAAAATATTACCCGTAAATTTTCTTTTTCTAAAGTGAAGCATACAATTCATGAAAAAATAAATAAATATACATTTCTATATTTAATAATAATTTAACTTTTAAAATATCTATTTTGTATTTAGTGAAATAGTTTTTGAGCCACACAAATAATTATAACTTATTTTCATATCGATCGAGGAATTATTCTTTTTGATTGATAGTGTCCATGGACCTGCATGATGATGATTCTGATAGCTGTAACTATATGATTTGGTTTTTTGACTTTTGCAAAAATAAAAAGGAGAGTGCAAAATGGAGCTAGCTGCCACTGTCTCCCATTTACTAGGTAATCACCATTGTCAACTCACGTCAATTCAACCCTTTTTAATGTTTCAATCTCTCAAGAATCTTCTTCGTTGAAAAATTAACATAATTATATATAAAATATATATGCTGAATTAAATAATTTGTACATTTAAATTTTTTTGATAAAATTTTTGACTTCGATACTGGCTCAACCATCAGCTTTTTGCCCCATTAGCGAGAGAATTTTTTAAATGATAATTGGGGATAAAAAGACGGATGGAAAATAATTGTTTTTATATGTTATCACATGATGCCATTTTGGTTATTATTTTCACATTTAAATTAATTAATTGTACTTTCACATGATTGTTGTGTCACATATTTTCATCTGTCAATATATATAGTAATACTTATTATGCCAAAATATATATGGATAATTAAGAAAGAAAGTCGTCTCGATCTAGTTTATATTTATATTCATAAATCTTGATAAAATGTAAATTATTAAGTATGTGTCTAATCTAATATATGCACGCCTAATATATATGTGTATAACAAAATTAAAGTTGGAACATTTTTGTAGAGTGAATTTTGACTAACAATATAATATGAGTGATCCATTCATGAATTCACATTCAATTTTTCAAAGCATTTACACTGTCTCCATTCTAAAGTTATTGTCTTTAATTTTTGCTAAATTACTATATATATATATGTTTTTTAAATGGACATATATTTTGCAATTAATTTTATATTCTTATAGATTATTACAAATTAAGAGGGGATATACAAACAAGCATCCGTTATCGTCCAGCGGTTAGGATATCTGGCTTTCACCCAGGAGACCCGGGTTCGATTCCCGGTAACGGAATTTTTTTGTTTTTGTGCTTTTTTTGCCTATGTGATTGCAATTTATCTGTTTACAATAACACTTTCATAAATTTTGCACAATTCTATTAAGTTCTTAGGAATATAATGTTTTAAAAAAAAACATAATAGAACAAATTGAGTCTTCACTTCAATTAAAAGTCATTTTGTTTAAAAAATGGGTGAAATGTTACACTTTTGCAAAAAGATAAATTCATTGAAATTTTAGAATCCTCGATTCCCGGTAACGGAATTGTTAATCTTTTATTATTTATATAATGAATATTATCTATTCAGTTTTTTTTTCTTCAATAAATAAACAGATTAAAAGTTCTCTTTTTTCTTTTTGGATAAATTAGCAAATAGAAACATCAAAGATGCCCTTGCAATATTTGTGTGATTTTTCATCATAGCAAAGTAAATATCATTCTCTAAAAAAAATTAATTTACAGCTCATACTCCCTTTCATTAAGGCTGATAATTTTCACTTAACTGATACTAAATCAATATCATATATTGTATTGATATCATTAAGGCTGATAATTTCTCTTAACTGTAACTAAATCAGTATATATATATATATATACTGTATTGGTATCATTAAAGTTTCTTGTTAAGAAATTACTCATTAGTCAATGATACTATAAGAGTATATGTATATTAGTTTGGGGGGAGGGGGGAGTATATAGTGTAATTATTTAGTGGGGTATAAATATAAAGGAGTATATATTTGTAATTATTTTGATTTTATTGGGTATTTGTTTAGTTTTCCCTTATGTTACTAGTTACTACTATATACTAATAATAAAAATCATCTATACAATATGATATTGATTGGAAATTTATGTTTCGTCTTTAAATAACGACATGAACAAAGTCAATGTACAACTAATGAACAAAGCTGATATCTATACTAGATTCAGAAGTCCGTGCTAACACAGATCCAATATATGTTACATTTTATCTCAAATCGAAACCTCACATATGAGTTGAAGTCTCAACCAACAACAAGAAGCCATCAAGCAGCTGCTTGCACAAACAAAGAAAAGATGTATCATGAAATAGACACCTAAACCAGCAAAACTGCTACTTATATTTTAAAAAAATTGACATCTTCCTATATGGATCCTCCTCATGACAAAATAATATTGATAAGAATGAAAGTCATCTCAAATGTTAATAAATATTGATTAAATACAAAGTGCTTGTCTAATATATATTATTAAAATTACATGAGATCGAAATTCCATTGAATATTTATACAATCTTTTGAAGCTAAAGACTTGTTATACTAAATTTCGCTATGTATGAGATCGAAAAAAGAATTGGACCACGATAACTAAATGAAACTTTCATGGTCCAACTTTCCTAAATTTATATATTCGACCATTAGAATACATTATATCAGTTTAAAATGGACATATATTTTACAAAAAAATCTCTGTATTTTACTATTATTAAACTTAAGAAAAGAACCTTTAACAAGTATCCGTTATCGTCCAGCGGTTAGGATATCTGGCTTTCACCCAGGAGACCCGGGTTCGATTCCCGGTAACGGAATTTTTTCATTTTTTTAAATTTTCTTCTTAAGTTAACGACTTTTTATTTCGAATGGTATAAATATAATTTTTTAATTTACTATCAGGTTATTGATTAATCTGTTTGAAAAAACTTAAACCATCAAAAATCGGAAAAGGAAAAAAAAAGGATTTTATTACTGCATTACATCTAAATTTTCTGATTTTTCATTAAATCATCATGGCAAAGAATTTAAATAATCTTGAAAGGGGTTGACGTTATTCTATTCCTTTACTCCACTTGTCACCTTGTTTTCTCTCAATAAGCCAAAATAATAAATTAATTACCACTTTTTAAAAAAGAAAAAGATATTAAGATTTTAATTAACAGAACTTTGATTAGTATGTTTTTCCTCATTTCGAGAATTATAACCACTAATTGACATTTATTAATTCTGATTGCAATTAATCTGAACCACAACAAAGAAATAAGCAAATGAAGATGGTAATGTATGAAAGTAAACTGCAATTAATCAAACTCATTTGTGGACTACAATATTTACTCAATAAATAAACGCAACTTGAGAAGAAAAACAAAAACAGAACATATTGACAGGATTGAGATTGAGGAAACAGTTTTTGTCATTTGCAGAACAGTTTTGAGTTCCAAGAGGAGGGGAGTTGAAATCAACTTCTACTAAATCATTGAATCAATCAGATCAGTAATTCCGTTTACCAGAACCACCTCTCCGTCGAGCCTTCCTCTTCTTCATCTTAGGAGCAGAAAGCTGGGAAATAGAGCGAATTTTCGGAGCTGGTTGATCATCCCCTGCAAGATCTGGATCTGGAACACTAGCTGGGATGGTAACCTTCTGGACATGTTCTAAAACCCGATGATTTTCTGCAGAATGAATCTTGAATTCCTCAAAGTTACTCATCTCTTCCTTCATTTTTTGATTGTAGATTAGAACGCCATCTTCAGACTGCACATGATTGGATGAATTCAACACATCAACAATTTAATAGAAATAAGGTTTAGGTCATCATAATATCCATATGAAGAATATTCATGATCTAAAATACAAGCTTTCAGCAAGTTTGTCACAGTGGATAAAAATAAGATCTTACTTCCTCACTTTATGAGCGAACAAACGATTTAACCACCAACTATTACTATTATAAATCGATGGGTTAACTAACTTAAAGCAGGAAGTAACAATGACAGAGAGAGAGAGAGAGAGCACTCAGAGAAATGGAGAGTAAAATGCAAGCTTAAAGAAAACAAATAAAAGCACATCCCCCATTTACCTACCTATTTTGAAAATCACGACATTCTTTTTGAAGGGTTAATGATATATGATGAATCATAGGCGCATACACAGACACAGAACAGCAATCAATGAAGAATAATGAGTTATATTGAAGTACTCACATTGGTGTTTGTATCCATAAGTAAGGAACGGTCTGTGCTTTCAATCACATCAGGGACGTTCACTGCTTGTCCATGTCTTGAAGCTGCATTGTCAGGAGGCATAACCATATTATACTCAGATATCAGCTGTGATACAACATCATGTGATCCCACTGGCATTTTGCCCCGATTGTCTTGAAGAAGGGCAGAACTTCGAGCAGAGCTGCCCAAAACATTACATGGTAGAAGCGATTTCAAGTCATCAGTGCTGGAGAACATCCCATTCCCACTTGTTACCTTGTCAAGTCTAGTTTTAAGCTGGACAACTTGTGACTGAAGAACCCCAATTTTGTGGAGTATTTTCTCCAGGGAAGCATCACCATCAGCAGGCTGTTGGTGCAAGTCATCATCAGCATTGATCTTGTCAGAGCAGATGGCTACAGAATTAAGAAGTGAAATGATTTAATTCTTCAAACAATTAGAAGAAAGCTAGCAGAAGAACTAAGCGCACACAACAGGTGATTTTGTATAGGATTGCATTTACAAAGGGTGTGCTTGGTAAGGGAATTTTTTTCCCACAGAAATAGGTGATTTTCTTATGGGTGAGTGGAAAACATTTTCAAAAAATATTTCTAGTATTTGGTTGGTAAGGGTGTTAGCGCTGTTTTTCGAAATAAGGACATTTAGGTTTGACTAATAAGATAAGAGAGGGGCAAGCCAAAACCTTCCAATATAGATCCACCAACATGCCTATTCTTTTGACTCTCCTATTGAGTATAGTATATTCTTTCCATCATCCTACTAGGATAGAATATAGATATTCTATCAACAAACTACCTAGCTTAGTTAGTTTGGCAGCTCTGCATCGTGAACTGCATCAGAAAGGGCATTCGTATTGTCCAGAGTTAGTGTTAGGGAGAAAAATAGATTCCTAATGATAAATAGTTTCCCTGAAGTTCCCTAAATATAACATAAATAATTTCCTGTGCACCTCCCACACCCTCCAATTCCCAATCCTAAACTTGACATTAACATGAAAGCACCATTTGATTTTAGAGCACAAAACAGAAGTCTCCACACGTCTTATCTTTGAATTTTTCTAAAATCGAGCTTGGAACACTCTCTGCTCAGTTCTCAACAAAAGTTAGATGTATGTCTGTCCTGTCATTGGACCACTACTTCAAATGCTCATTGACTGCATATGCCTTTTTCCTATATTCCCCAAATCCCACACCCCAAACAGCATCAAGGGACTCTAGCTCCAGGGGCTCATCTCGATTCTCTTGGAAAATGACTTCCTTAAGCATGCCAAAGGGAGTTACTTACCATTTTATAAAGGAAAATGTAGTCTTAGCGAAAACGTTTTCTCAGACAATTTAGCTATAGCCCAATGTGAAAAAATTGGAACACTTTCTGGGAAATGTTTAACTTCATACCAAACAGACCATAGATCAAGTTCAAAGATGAGATGGATATACACTAATGGGGGATCAAAATGAATCAATTAATCAACCATGCACTATGATTGGCCATATGAATTCATTGCATCTATTCCATTGTATATGGGTCTCTATTTAATTCCACTACTAAATAAGCTATCTTTTATGTCAAATAAGGAGTTTTGTAGAACTCTAGTACTTACTCTTATCCTTGCAATAGCATACAAGTTTCTAACAGACCGAGAAAGACTCTTGACAGTTGACAAACACAGCGCATAATGCAGGTGTAACAGCTAATCTCAATCTCAACCAACCAATATTATCACCTATATAATCCCGTTGCTTCCATTTTATTATGCCCTTAGCTAAGTCCGCAATTTCTTTTTTTTGTAGATTTGAGCCGATCTATGCTGTGCTGGTCTGGATCAGGGATTGAAAAAACTTGGCCCAGTCCCAGCCTGAAAAGTCAACCAGGATGGACCAGGCCAATTTAAGGAAGTGAGCTAGCTCCGAGCTCAATTTTTAAGGGGCGATTGGCAAGTTTCCTTACCCTCTAAAGTGTTTTACCAGTATTCCATCTTTTGACAGACTCTTTAGCTAGTTTCATCAATTCAAACAATAATTTAACAAATAGAAAACATCATGTCAATTAACAGAATATTGGAGCGAACACCAGAACAACATTAGGAACCCACAAAAGCACTAGACTATGTGTCCAGATGATTACACAAGCAAGGTTCCTATCTAAGGAAGTTGTCCTTACACAAGACAATCTGATGAACAAGGGGATAATTTTATGTCCGAGATGTGTTTTTTGCGGAGAACAAGCAGAAACGGTTCGACATTTGTTCCTTCATTGCAAGACCATAGGTCAGCTTGGGAGACTATTCATAAACCTTAAAAGGTTTCTCCTGGACTATGCCAGGAAAGGTTACAGAGGCCCTTCAAAGTTGATAAGAATGCTGGTGGACAATCTGGAAGAAGAGAAATGCTAGGTGTTTTGAGAACATAGAAAATAGTATAGAACAGATCAAATTGAATTGTATCTTGATTCTATGTTTTTGGTGTAATCAAATTCAGTCTAATGATCTTGTATCTATTATTGATGTGTTAGATTCATTATAGACATGGGATCATAGGATCTGGATTTACTTGTAAATATGGCCCTAGTACATCCCATGTACTGATATGTTTCTATCAATAGAAACAAAGTTACCAGTTTCAAAAAACTCATTAAGTGCGTTTGTTTTTGTTAAGATTTCACCACTTCTATACTCTCTTTCTAAGTTGCTCGGATTCTTCACTTTCGGTACCGCACCCATGTCGGCACGAAGTGGGTATGGGATCCATACTCGATCTGGTCAACTGGGTTGGATACTTCGACCAAATTCGAGGGAGAAACTTTGGACAGGTTCAATGATTTATGTAATCAAAACAAAAACTAGGGTGAAATTAAAGAAAATGGAATTACCTTGTATATATAAATTTCTATTGCACTCCCTTTCGGCCTTTCCTTTTATCTCCTTCCAGGATTCTCCTCTTGATCAATATTAACTCCTCAAGTACTCCACATAATACCTCATAATTTAGGTTTTATAACTCTATGTTTAGATATTTGAATTATTTTTAGCAGAATCCCCGCACCCGTATCCATACATGGATCCGTAATCCCCGCATCTTAAAATGTAGATCATAGAGGATCCAACCTCTAGATCCGCAGCCATATCGGACACCCACACCCGAGTCTGAGCAACTTAGAGTCTCTTTTACCACTACTTGTTTTCTTTTGAAAACACAACATCAAATCTTATACCTTTTTTTAATTCCGTGTGGTTAATATAATATTTAATTATTATACTACTTAAATTTATATTTATTTATTTTTTGATAACCGAGAAATCCGTCTGTGACCCCCCCTTTGGACCAATCACAGCCTTCTAAACTCGGTGGATAATGGGCCCGCCCCTCTACCCTTCTCCACTTAAATACCACTATTTAAATTTTATTTTGTGGAAAGATATTAGTTATGTTGTTGTTATTGTATTGTTTAAAGTTAATACTTAATAATTCTCAATTCAATGTATTCAAATGATGAAAAAATAACTACAGTCTTAATTATCATTGTTCCCAACTATTATTAACAGTCGCTATCACCTCCATTGTTATAATTACATCCACTACCACCTCACCGTCACTATCAGCCACTACCACCTCACCGTCACTATCAGCCACTACCACCATTAAGGTTAATTTCAACTACAAACCATCTTCACCATCACAACTAGCACTGTCTCCAACTATCACCACCACATATTCTTCAATCGCCACCACCACTTCAAATCATATCCACCATCACTAGCAAACATATTATTTTTTTTGCTCACATACTAATTTATTTTATCAAATTTATAATTATTATTTTATTTCAATTGTATATTTATTATGTTTATAAATAAAGAAATGGACATTCAGATGTTGAAAAACAAACCGTCATAATCATTCAATGTTCAGATCTAGAGACAACATCTTAATCATCTAGATGTTCATTCAAATTCAGACATCTTAATCTTAATGAAAACAAATGAGGCCTTAGAGTAGAGCAAAACCAATGCAAGAGCCCAACGCTAGGCCTTTTTATGACCTATGTGATGGTATTATACCCAAGTTGATCTTTTATCAGCATCAAACTGATAATTGCAACTAATTTTACTCCAATAAGCACATACTTTCACATGCATGCACATATCTGTCATCTAAAGTACCGTCGACCATACCTATGCCACTCGTCCCAAAACTCATAGTCACTCTTTGTTTCCTTGATTTTAGGAATCTTAGCTCAATTATTCCAATGTAATTTCCGTTTTAACCAACCAGTCTGATGTAACCTAATTGACTGTGTAGTCTCGATCCACCACCTAACCTCTCACACCAAGCAAACTTGTACCTGTCAGTGAAAGTACTAACTAATTCTAACTGATCAATGGAAGTAAAATAGGACTTGTGGCATATTGACAGAATGAGAGGTCACAAGTAATAAGCAATTAGGGATCAACTTCACTAACAAATCTCAGAAACATAAAAAAGGAAAAGTCCTAACTGAACTGGAAAACTTTAATCTTTAACATCTCCCTGCAACATTAAAGAAACTTGTACTCAAGAAACAATTGTAAATTCTTAACCAAACAGCAGCTGTGTTGCACAAGAAGTCATAATTCCATACAGCTTCCAAACATAGCCTCTGTTGTGTGTGTAAATAGCCATTAATAGAAGACTTGAATAGGAACAACATATGCATTGCTACCATTTTGATGTTATCAAATTATTTTTCTACCAAGAAGCAACAAAGAACCACAACAACTGCAACTCAAAATTAAGGCAAGGATGCATTCGAACCTATTTTGTCCAACTCATTGTCCAGAAAAGAACCATCAGCACTTGACTTTCTTTTTTCTGCATGTCACAAATACAAATTCATGATTTGGAAATGAAAATGTGAAACTAGGCTAAAGGACAATGAGGGGAAATATTACCAAAGAAAGAGAACAAGGGATGATGAGACATATAAGCAGCTATATCCAATGTATCTTCAGTTCTTCTTCTCTTCTTTCTCTTCACAACATTATCTCTTAAACTATTACAAGAGAATGGAAGTGACTTTGAACCTAAATCTTCCAATGGAACACTTCCCATTTGAAGCTTCATCTGGTGGTTGTCATCCTGCATTTGTTTCTCATATTTCCGACTTTGAGACTGAAGCAGATGAAGTTTCAACTCAATCAACTTGCATCGCTGCCTAATAGGTTGTATAAAGTCTCTCCAATGAGGTGTCACCTTTTTCCTCCTAAAGGACAGAAAAAAAAAGAAACGTGTTAAGATTTTTCATAGATATTCTCTTACTCTAAAAAAGGCACAAAACACCACAAAGGACTACACTATCCCCCTAAGCCCATGTTGAATCTGACACTAAGTCACATAAGCTAAGGATGAGATGATTAGCCTGTTATGTCTGTGAACAAGAAATTCAAGTTACTCAACAGCAAGTTCATGGTCAGACTAGGTTGAACAACTACCCTAGGGGGTAGCCTGGCGGTTGAAGATCAGAATAACGACCTTAGGAACCTGGTTCAAATCCCAGAAGCAGCGACAATATGAATTCTTTCTATATGCTCAAACTTTGGTGGCTGAGTTAGCCAATACCTATACTGAATGGTAAAATGCCAAGTGAATTAGTCAAGGCGCGCACAAGCTAGCCTGACCACCACCATTATCCAAAAAAGGAAAACACCTTAGTTGAACAACTAAACCATGCATAGATATTTCTACCTATACTGAATGGTAAAATACCAAGAGAATTAGTTGAGGCGCGCACAAGCTAGCCCGACCACCACCATTGTCCAAATAAAGAGAACACCTTAGTTGAACAACTAAACCATGCACATATATTTCTTAAAACCAAATCCTTCAATGTAACAAGAAAATTGACTTCAATAGATTAAATCAATCCCTGCAAATTCACTCTCAGAAGGCAGTTGAATGCTGGGAGGTCATGAGAGTTGCTGAATTTTTCAACACTGTGGACACATTCATTTGACTGTAGATGGGAGGATGAACTATGATGGACAGGAGATGACCGGGGAGTGTTCAAAGTCAACAAAGCTAATAAGTTGATAGATCAAACTAATCAGCAGGGTACAAGATGGCCTTGGAAACAAATATGGAATTGTAGAATACCTCACAAAGTATCACGCTTTGTCTGGTTAATGGCTAAGGAAGCGGTCATTACACAGGACAATGTCATGAAGAGGGGGATAACCTTGTGCTCTAGGTGCTTCCTATGTGGTGAAACATCTGAGACGGTTAACCATCTATTTTTACATTGCAAGTACACCCAACATTTATGGAGAATATTTCTGATCCTCAAAGGACTCTCCTGGACCATACCAAGGAAGGTGGCTGAGGCCTCAATGAGTTGGGAGGAAGAAGGGGTACATGCTAAGGACAAAGGTAAATGAAGATTATCCCTAGTGCGATAGGGTGGGTTATCTGAAAAGAGAGGAATTCAAGATGTTTTGAGAGCATAGTGAACAATGTGCACAAAGTTTAACTTAACTGCATTCTACTTTTAGTTTTTTGGTGTATTTAGTTATACTCAAATGAAACTATCTCTATCATTGAAGTTATAGACTCTATTTAGTTATAGAGAAGTGAAATTAGTACACTTGTATATAAGGTTTCAATGCAACCCGTGTATTGTTTTGTGATATAATACAAGGTCACCTAGTTCGAAAAACAAAATTCCAGAAAGACAGCTTTAGTTCTGCAATCAGTTTCATTTTCTGATGAATAAGCGAGGAACTATAATGCTTATTCGCATATGAAGCCTCACAATTTAGAGGGAGAAACTGTGAATCACTTGCTACTACATTGCAATTTTGTGTGGCAAATTTGGTGCATGTTTCTCAATCTTTATGGGGTCTGTTGGGACATACCAGCAAATGTTAAACAACTTCTGAACTGTTGGCAGAGGCAAGGAACAAGTAAGGAGAAGAAGAAGATCTGGAAGGTCATTCCTCTTCGCATTATATGGAGAATCTGGCTCGAGAGGAACGAACATAAGATGCTTTAGGGGAATGAGGAGAATATTTCTATTGTAAAATATACATGTATCCAAAATTTTAAAAAGGAATTGGTGCAATGCAGATTTTTCTGCTGATAGCGACATAATGCTGGAGTTCTTGAAATCTTTAAAGCTTTGAAGAATTCATATCCAGCAAATCTTTTTGTACTTTGTCTTAGTACCAGCTTGGTACTGAACCTTTATACATAAAATTTACCTTTACTCATCACAAATATGAAGCATAAAAGTCAAAGCATCAGAAACCAAACTGCAGACTACAGAAAAAAAAGGCTATCCAATAAATAAAGATTAGGAGAAGGAATACATACGTCATCCTAAAAATGTCACCAAATCCACTAAATGCTAGTTCTGCTGTAGCATCACCGCTGTATTCTGACGTACACTCGGTGTCATTCATACCTGTGCAATTCTCTGATTCAGAAAAAATACTCCCAAAAGAACTTGAACTTTCTGTCAACTCCTCTCTATCTGATTGCACCAGCACATTATCAGCAGGATCTGTACATTCTATTATATCAATTTCATCGTCCTCAATGCCATGGGCTTCCTCCTTTACTTGTTCAGCCAAGGAGGTATGGTTGCTAGCACAATTTGCATAACTAGCTTCAAGTTCTTTAGAATCACTTCCATTCTGCTTCTTTGCCGAAGCCTCTAATATCATATCTGTATTTTGCTTGTTCTCTAATTCACGTCCCATTTTGCAATATCTTACAATTCAAACCATTCTCAGCACATTGAGAGCAAATATGTGCAAACAACCTGCCATGGAAAGGGAAATTGCTAATAAGAAACCCCAAGACAAAATACATAAGATTTACTTTCTTTTGCAAGTCCATCCATTTTTGCAGGGTTGACCCTTTATTATTTCCGAAAATAAATTATAAAGTCACCCTTTATTGTTTCAAAAAGGTAATAAAGTAAAAAGAAAATATTTGCTTTGGACATTCCCAAAACTGAAAGTACCAACAATTGCTTCAGGTTTTCAGATGCCATTCACTGGAACACGTTATCAATAAGTTAAAGGCAGTTTCAAGCACCAAGTAGTGCTAGTTTTTTGAAACTGAATTTTTTTAGAAACTGAAAGTAGTGCTAGTTAAAAGTCCATCAGTTGTGGGATTAGAAATTGGTCTCCTTATATGATCATGGACAATCCTCACTTCATGAGCATTAAATTAGGTCCAACGTTGATTTTCTTATCATAACATTAGAGCAAAAAGAGGTCATAGGTTCGAGTCTTGCCATCAATCATTATCAGAAAAAAATTCCACATACTTGGCTCATGAAAAAAAGTCAAAATCCATACATGAGGAGCATGTTGAATGCAAAATTAAATAAATAACAGTGTGCTCTCTCTAACGGCTTAAACTTTTAGATGAAATGGACACACCGTTCTCCTCATATAGTCTTGACATCCTCACTTCATATAGTCTTGACATCCTCACCTCATGTGCTAGTTTCTGAGGTTGAATTAGGCCTAGGGGCATCTTCTTTATGAATCCAAATGCTAAAGTTTCAACCATGCAATGGGTTATTAAAATCTAAAAAGCTACCCTTCACCATATCATCTTAGCTTTCAACTGGTAATTTTTTGTCGTTCTTTCTTGTTCCTATTCTGCAGTTAACTCTGCTATTATAGCAGTTTTTCTGCAATCCCTTAGCCAAATTAAAATCTATCTAGAACTTATGTAAGAACAGGAATTCGGAGCTCCTTGGCATGAAACAATAAACAGTGCTCGTACTAATTAAAGAATATACATATAAATAAAATGAACAGATTTTTAAAAAAAAAAAAGAACAAGACAAATAGAAAATCAAGTGGTCCACATCCTCCTCTCTCTCTTCTCACAAGCACACGTTATCAACACACACCACTATTTTCCTTCCATATTTTTAATATTCTTTCTTACCATTTTTCATAGAGATCCTAGATGATTAATAAAAGTCTACTCCAAATGATATGAATTATGATACTAACCAAATGAACACACAGAAAACAAAAGGATGATCAACGAGATCAAACTAAGCTAAATCAGTCATTGAAGGAAATAAAATGTTTAGCAAGAATTAGCTGTGCATCATGGGAAATAATTTTGAAATGGGTTTGTTATAGCTTCAATCATAGTGAACTTCCAATTAAACAAGAACATCTAAAACGAGTGAAAAGGAATAGAGAAGAAAAAAGAAATAACTTTCTCTTAAATCTAGATTCAAGGCATCAAACAAATGGAAGTACTCAGTTCAAAATCTCTACATGGATTTACACTCAAGGTACAAATGAAGTTAGAATAAAACCATGGGAGGTAAGATTTCCACAATAAATAAAAAGCCAGGTATAATTTTCCTATCTACCTAAGTCGTGGTGGGCAGAATTTGTACTAACACTAGTGAAAGGACGCAAATATCTGGCAGAGTATATCACCTTTGTCCTGCGGAGAACATATCACTGAGAAGATACCAGTACCCAGATGGTTGGCCCGGCCACAAACTTAGTTTTTTTTTTTTAAAAATCTCTACAATCAAACAAAAACCGAAAGATTCAAGAGTGCCCAGTACAATTCTGACTAAATAGCACCAAACCCAAGCATTCCCAGAAAATCAGGATCTTCAATTTAAAACTGAGTCTTTGATTTCTCCCTTTTCCCCTTTTTAATCTATTAACACGTTTTCCTTCAAGAAAATCAGAACTTCTCAAGAAAATCAGAAATTTTCAAGAAAATCAGAACTTTTCTTGTGTTAATTTGCAAATTCCATACAGAGCTTAGAATCAAAGTAGAATTGTCCTAACACACAACAGAAGAACTTCCAAAAACACAACATGTCTTTGGACCCAATCAGAAAGCCCAATTCAAGATATGATCATTTATTTCAAGAAAGTAAATCAAAGTGCCGAAACGTCAAGACCCATCTATAAAATTCAATCAAAAGGTGAAGAAAAAGTAATCTTGCATACCAGAATTTCCGATTCTCAAGAAACAGTCCGATTCAAAAGTTCTCAACAAACTGATTCACCCCTGATTACTTGATTCTCCGTTGAGTGGCGGGGCCGGGTCGGTCGGGGTGGGGGTGGGGGTGGGGATGGGGATGGGGTATATATAGTATACACAGAGAGATGTTTCAGTATCTGTCAAATACTTGGGGAAGAAGCAGAAAGCAGAAACTGATTCCTTCCGCATAGGAAACAGTTCTACTTTATTTTTATTTTTCTTTTATAATATTAACATTATTATAAAAATATTATTTTGCTGTTTGGCTATTTTTGGAAAAACTTTTATTTAATTGAGTGGTAAATATATGCTACTAATTTTAATTTTATGGGATGTCTGCATATGTTAAAGGTAATATAATAATTAATACTAGTTCTTTTTTTTTTCTTTTTTTATCACCCGACCAACTTTCGTGCACTTCAACAAATTTCACGAGATATATGTTACATCTCACCACCAACTAGGGGTATGTAAAAATCGAACCGACCGATAAATTGAACCGAAAAAGTGTTATTGGTTTATTGTTATGGGATTAACGGTTTTTTAATGATTTTATATAAAAAAAATATCAGGATATCGATTCGGTATTGATTTTTAATATTGGGTTATTGGGTATTTATTTTATATTATCAGGTTATCATATATTTATTTTATAAGTATTTTCTTATTGGTTAAACCGAAAATCGAAAATCGAACCGTTAAAGACCAAAATCGATAAAGAATCTCTTATTGTTTGGTTATTGGTTTAACGTATTCAAAAAAACGAAAATCAATAAATTGAATCGACCGATGCACACCCCTACCACCTAGGGGCAGAGCTACAACCATTTAAGAGTGGTCAGCTGAACACCCTTCGCCGGAAAAGTACATCATATAGAGAGGTCAAATTCTGGATTTAAGGGATAAATAATTAACGTTGAACAATCTTGACATAAACTCTTCTCTGGCACAGTCGTTAAGCGTGTTCAATTCCACCCCAGGTGTGTGGACTCGAATCTCACTGAGTGCAGAACACACAACCTCACACACCATTATTATGTTCCTCGAGTTTCTTAATTATTAATATTACAATTTTAATAATATAGAGTAACATATATGAATACATTATTTTAATTTTGAATATTTAGATATCATGTATTTATAATTTTTATCTAGGATATAATGCACTATGTTCCTCAAATTTCTTAATTATTAATATTACAATTTTAATAATACATAGTAACATATATGAATACATTATTTTAATTTGAATATTTAAATATCTTGTATTTCTAATTTTTATCTAGGATATAATGCACTATGTTCTTCAAGTTTCTTAATTATTAATATTACAATTTTAATAATACAGAGTAACATATATGAATACATTATTTTAATTTTGAATATTTAAATATCATGTATTTCTAATTTTTATCTAGGATATAATACACTTTCGAATGGTGAAAACAAAAAAGCCAAATTTTACTTTAAAATTTTGTGTTTATATACGTTGACAACTTTAAACCCAAAGCTAAAATCAATACATGTGTTTAATCTTTTTTTTAAGAAAAAATAAATTATACTGATATGATTTATGTTACGTAAAGCTAGACACATTTGTTCTATCAATATTTCACTTTAAAAACAATAATCATATATTTTTATCATATAAAATCAATGCATCAAAAAGAAAAAAAGAACTCGATTGTTTATATTTGATATTGACAAATGTTGAGATCGTTCATGGTAGAATCCCTAGGTTAAACAAATAACATTCAACTCACTTATTAAAAAAAATAATTTGAACACCCTTAATAAAATTTCTAGCTCCGCCACTGCTACCACCAACATATTTTCCTCTGAGAAAAATTAGCATAAATATCCAAAATAAATAAATAAATTAGTTTACTCAATTTATATTTAATATATTTATATAAAAATATATTATTTTTGAAAGTGATAGTATTAATTTAAAAGAAAATAATCTCATTTTTTTCATTCAATTAAAGAAAATGTTGCATTCTACTTGGAAAAATCAACTTAACTTATACTATGGTTAAGGTTAGGGATGACAATGGGGCGGTGCAGGGAGAATTGAGCTTAATCCATAAAATTTAGTCTATTCCGCCCCGCATAACAATTTTTTCATTTTTAATCAGTTCCACCCGTCCTGCAAAATTTTTTTAATATTTTCTTTTTCTAGTTAAGTTTGATACTAAAAATAAAACTCATAGAAACACATTTATTTTTTCATTAAGTTGTATTAATTTAATCGATGATGACTTAAAAAATTATTTTTTTAGAGGTCAATTGTGAAACACGTAAGAAATTGTATTGTTTTTTATTGAACCATTTTCATTTACTATCTTGAATATTTTAGTAATTTTAAAGAAATTATCTTAATAAATAATATTATATCACTCTTATAACATGTAAAAAATAAAATTAAGTTTGAACCCACATAAAATCACATATACCTGCAACCCGTCCCACATTAATTTTTAAAAAAACCCTACTACGACCCACCACACACAACCTTAAAATTGCACCATCCCATATAGCATTAAACCCACCCCACCCCATTATCATCCCTAGTTGAGGTACTTAAGGATAACTTTTTTCTAAGAACACTCATGAATGTCAAAAAAAAAACTATAACAAAATTTTTCAAGAGAACTTGTCAAAACTATAACAATATTCTGTGTTGTAAAAATTGCATAAATTGACAGGAACAGATGTGCTAAAAAGAAATATCAACACTGGATATTAACTAATATAATATGTTTTAACATTGCATTACAACACTGGTCATTAACTAACATAATATGTTTTAACATTACATTACAACACTGGACTTTAACTAATATAATATGTTTTCACATGACATTACAACAGAAAATAAGTAGAGTTCTCTCACAAGAAGAGACTTTATTCAGGAAAGAACACTTTTGAGTGTCTTTCTCAAACACCTAAAAAGACTTGAACCAACACAGCACAAGGTTCTAATCATCATCCTCAATCTTGCAACAGTAACAGATCATGACATACCATCCAAAAGTCGCAAGAACAAAGGAGAGCAGACCAATTGGAAACATCCATCCAATCATTAAATAGCCGAAGCAAAGCATCCCAATGAAAGGCAGAAATGATCTCAAGATTGACCAGCGATTGACCCACTTTCCCCTAAACATTATAAGAGCTCCAACGTTAATCATGTTCCAGCGCATTGATCCTCTAAATGATAGCCGGTTCAGGCAATTAGCAGCAAATGAGTGGCCGTTGCAACTGAAAACGCTGAAGTTTCTGTACTCAAAGGTGCGCCTAGACAACTGAACAGCATCATCCCAACTTATTGCTGTCCCAAATACAGCATGTACGTAACCCTGACGGCATGTGTGTCCACCAAAGTTGCGAGCAAAACAGCACTGTTTAAGCATAACAAAGTTGATAAAGAGAGTTATCAAGACCTGTATGTAAATTTTTATGAGTCATTGAAGAGATGCTACTGCAAGCGCACCGTTTAACTTTTCTCGCTACTTTCTCTTTATAGGGATGGGGTGGGATTTTGGAATGGATAAAAGCAGTCATGGGCACATACCTGCTGTCTGTCTACCTGATAGTATTTGGCTACAGTTCCATAGAAGAGCTGACCAACATGAATCATGTTATCTCCAGAAAAATCCACAATGGTACCATCCTCCCTGCATATGCCAACATGTCCAACAAAAGGTGCAAGCCAAGAAACCACAGGGAGAGGAGTCCAAACAAGGCAACAAGGGAACTTTTGAGTGCTTGGATCAATTTCATTTAGTGGCAATAAGTCATGCAGAATTCCTCGCGAAGCATTATCCCTTTCACCCCCATTCCTAGGATTAGCATCCATCTGAGGAAATCTTCTTGGAAGCATATAGCAATGTACAATTTCGTCGTTCCTAGAAGAATGAGATTCCCTGTTGAATAGAAAAAGGAATATCATCTCGTTACACCCTCTAGGCAAAAACTAAAGCTATATTCTAAAACTCAAGGTAAGCCTGGCCAGCGGTCACTATTAACAATGGAGTCTCAGCCATTCCAATTCAGAAAAAGGAATGATGATTCAGAATACAGTCCTAATCTAAATGCTGAAGTGTACCAAAATAAAATTAAGAATTACTCGACACAAAGAATAAACAATATCAACATTTGCTACTTAGCAGCTCCTACTTAGGAGCATAGCCACTTCTTACAGTCCAAAATAACCAGAACAAGAGCTCAAGCTGTATGAAACAAAATCTTCTACCTGGATATATCTATATGCAAATACATGATAGATATTTGACAAGTCATCTCAGATATCATATCTGATCAATCATTCTTTGAGATAAACCTGGCCGAACAGCAATTAAAAATCACATTATTCAGAAAGCTTCTACATATACACGTACACTTTATTCTGTATTTCAACACTCTTTTTAAGTTCAATATACAAATATCACTTAATTTCAGATATAAAAGGAATTCAATTGACCACAATGCTTCACAATAAGATATCAGGAGACGCATCAAGAATAGTCATTGGAACACCGAAGAGGTTGCAACATCTAAGGTTTCTTAGACTGATGTCAAGAAACGATTGCTATAGGATTAATGTACCTCCGAAAATCTTACCATAATTGTAACCGAGCCAAGACAAACTATAAGCTACTTGAGCTCAGCTTAGTCCAGCTCAAATCAACGGACTTTCAAGACTAGTAGACTCAATATTCATAAACATGTTCCACTGGATGCATTATAAATTACAGCATATGAACTAGAACATCATTTTATGTCATTTTGACCCTTTAGTTTTACATATATGCATAAATTATTCTTTCGGCCCCTTATAGATGCAGGATATAAAATATGCACCACTACCTATAAGTTTTCCCTTTCACTCTATCAGCTGACAGGACCCTTATTTCTCCTTTTTTATTTCCGAATAAACATTGCTGCAGCAATCAAATTCCACCCACCTATATCCTATCAGTTCCAACCCTTAATCATGCCCTCTGTAATTCTTACTCATCTGCTACCAACTAAAACACTGCAAATCTAGAAAAAAAATCCCACCAGCATTTTGTAACACTATGAAAGTAACATCAGGCTGTAGCTTGATGTTCCCAGTTGGTAGTCGATATTATCACCAAATCAGCTAAAAAAGCAAGATTTCATAGGCCAATTACACTCATGCATTAATGATGCATCGGATAAGACTTGGAATTATAGCAATTAAAACTACAGCACTGTTGCAAGTTCCTTTACCCATTTTATGTCATGTCACAATGAAAAACATTAATTTTTGCACTAGAAGTTGATGCACAAATTCTTTAGTCTACTGATAGAAACTTGAGCTGAGAACCTATCAATAAACAGAAAGGTTTTTGAGCTTAGAGTTTTTATTTTCTATTAAATAATAGTAGTAATTTATAAGGAAAAAAAACAATAATTAGTATGTCAAGTGAAAGTAACCTCTCTAGTAAGAAAGTATTATATAGAATTAGGTCGCACATCAGGTTTTGAATTAATTCAAGAAACACCAATACCAACACCCAAAAAAGGAAGAAAAAAAATCAAGATGCTTTTAAGATAGGTATAATTCTACTCAGAAGATTAAATGAATTGTATACTTCTGTTTTACTTTTGGTGGAAAGAGAAATTTATAAATGACTCAAACTCTATTTAGAAGTTTTAGAATCCTTGTAAGAAGAATCAAGCATACACTGTGTTTGCTTTTTGAATTGTATATGACACCTACCACTGCCTTTGTGCAGATGATATTTATAGCAGTGGTCACCTTTCCGGGAAAAAAAAAAGGAAAAAAGAAGAGGCCTAAGCCTTTAAACTTCAGGCTAGGTAGTGGTAACTCATACACTGTGCTTATTCAAAAATGACGCAACCAAGCAGAATAAACATTTGACTCACTTGGCTTGATTCGAGTCATACTATCTACAGTGAAAAGAAATTACAGAAAAATATAACCCTTTCACTTGAGTCACAGATTGGAAAGTGTTATGATGCAATATCTCTATAATGGTATAAAGTCAGTTTCCAAAATCTAAGGGGAAGCAGTAGAGAGTTGTAAAGAGAAAATTGCAGTAGCATTGAATAACATTCCTTGTCTTATTTGGATGACAATTGTACTGGACTTAATGTTTACTACTTTTCTTTCTTTTTTATAAAAAGGTATCATTTAGGCATGACTTACACAATGGATAAAAGAAGAATAAATGTGAATGAAATCTATAAAATAAGGTGCAATTATAGCACTGCTTGACATGTTCATTAGGTTGTCATGTATCAACTAAGTTACTCGGATTCTTCACTTTTGATGCCACCACCCTGTCGACATGACGTGAATGTGGGTGTGGGTGTGAGTGTAGGATCCGTGCAGGATTTGGTCAACCGATTTTGAGTACTTTGACCAAAATCGACAAAGAAATTCGAGACAAATACAATGATCTCCATAATCAAAAAAAAAGCTAAGACCCTTCGGGATGGCCCAGTGGTTTGGGCTTGGGACTTCCATGTTGGAGGTCTCAAGTTCGAAACCCCTTACCAGCGAAAGCAAGGGGTTTGCCTTCTGGGTCGAGCTCATTTCACCGAGCTTGCCTAGTGTGGGTTACCTCTCCTATGTGGTTTGCGAGCTATTGCATAGGAGCGGGGGTTTTACCCTGTGCGCACCCAAAGGGTAGAGGCTGCGGATTTCCCTTGGCATCAAAAAATAAGAACTAAGGTGAAATAGAAGAAAATATAGTAGCTTGTATAAAGAAATTTCTATGTTAGTTCTTTTCCTTCTCTCCTAGGATTATCAATATTTTCTTCTCATAATACTTTGTAAGTTTTCCACATAATGTCTCAGAGTCATAGTTTAGACATATAACTCTATTGTTAGATATTTGAATCACTTTTTAGCCAAATCCCAATCATGAAGGATCCAACCTCTAGATCCTCACCTTGTCACCCATATCGGACACCCACACTCAAGTCCTAGCAACTTAGCCTATCGTTGCCCTGTTTAACTTCCTTATACAAGCTTAGAGTGGTGAAACTACTTGTGCTTGAAATCTAATATGGAAAAATTACATTAACGAATAATGCCTTAAACTAATGGTATTTCTTAAGAGCTAAATGTCTTAATCCTTTGTTTTTTTGAAATTGATGTCTTAATCCTTTGTATATAGGGAAAAAAAACTTTTAGAGCTCCATTTATGATCACAGATAGGGGAATTACATCAAGATAAGTTTCATGGAGAGACAGACCGTACAAGATTCGGAAAAATAAAAGTTGAGGAGTTCCAATAGACAATATATGACATCTCAATCAGAAGGGAAGGAATGGATATGAAATGGAGGGTGTCAAGAGAAAATTATTCAATGAGATCATACTACATGGGCTATTAGGACGGAGTATGGTTCTTTTGGGTTATAGTTGACGGTTGTTTTTGAATTCCATTTCTACTACAAAATCGGACAAGAGTTCCTTCGCATCCAACTTCTCGCAAATATTAAAAAATAATAATTTGAATTAATATAGAATAGTAAATCCTAAAATATACTACCTCCGTCCACTTTTAATTGTCATAGTTTCCTTCTTTTTTTTTGATAACCGAGAAATTCGTCTGTGACCCGCCCTTTGGACCAATCACAGCCTTCTAAACTCAGTGGATAATGGGCCCGCCCCTCTACCCTTCTCCACTTAAATACCAAGCTTTGCTTTGCATGGTGTGGGGCTTGAATCTGTGACTAAGCCACAAATCCTCCACTTTTTGCCACTTGAGCTAGGCCTTGGGGGCTTGTCATAGTTTCCTTTTTGTAGAGTCAAATTATAAAAACTTTGACTAACATTTTACGATGTATTTTTTCATCATATTGATATGCAAAAAATTGTAATTTATAATGCTTTTCGTATAGTTTTTGAATATCTAAATTGTTTGTTCAAAATATCGAATTAATGTAATCTAATTTATCTTTGAAAATTGGTCAAATTGACTTTCGAAAAGCACAACATGACAAATAAAAGTGGACGGAGGGAGTATATGATTATAAGTACTTATTAAGTAATATGTTGACATGAGACTCTTCAAGATTCATTCTCTCTAATACTCCCTCCATTTCAGTTTATTTGTCTTACTTTCCTTTTTAGTCTGTTTTAGAAAGATTGCCTTTTTCATTTTTCTTTTTGGTTTTTTGAAAATGGTAACTTTTTCCTAAGTTGCTCGGACTCTCCAAAAATGTTGCCACACCCGTCGAATCCTTTAAAAATACACTATTTTGGGTTCCACTTCACCATGTTCTATGTGGGGAACACATATTAAGATTGTTTTCAAAATAGGTTCCACTTCACTATGTTTGGTTTTACCAAAAAAATACTAGCCATTTTAGGTAAAGATCATCATGTTGGGAAATAAGGACTTTTCAACATTATTGAAAAAGAAAAGGATAGTACAAGATATTCTCTTCCACAAAATGGTAAATTTGTTCTAATAGAGAAACAACGATGGTTGATTATTTAAGAAAGTAAATAAGACATGGAATCTCGAGAACATATAGGATTAGGAATAAGATAAGCTTTAGGAGTTTCAAAAAAAAGTTTATGACACCTCAATAGGGAGAACAGAATAGACAGGTAGATATGAACAGTGCCCAGGGCGAATATAGGGGGTTGTCATGGTGTTCACCTAAACTTCCTCGATAAAAAATTACCTTGTATATATAAGGTAATTTTTTATGCATATATATAGATTTTGAATTCCCTAAACACGAGACTAGAGGTTGACTCAATGGTTTAGGGGGTTCAAAATTCACCTTGAGGTTTCAAGTTCAAACTCCGTGCACTACATTTTCATTTTCCAAACCCCCTTAGTGAAAATCTTGGATTCACCAATAAGGGAGCCTATGGAAAGTCATTCACTTAAAACAATAGCACTTAGTGCGGAAGAACGTAGAGTACCAAGATGGCTAAAGGAAGTAGCTTTCTTTCCTTGTTGATAATATTGGGTAAAATGGTAATGGCGGCTAACATAAGGAAATCTGAAAATTGTTATGAGTTGGTATGATCATGAGAAAGTATGGGGAAGATACTTAGCACCCCGTATTGCATTTAAGGGTGGCCGTTCAGTATTCGGTTCCCTTTTCCAAAGTTCAATTTCAGTAGACGGTAATTCGATAATCAGTAATTGAAAAAAGATACCAATTATTACAGTATATCAAACTTTGGTACGGTAATTTGGTAATTACGTATTGAAGGGAAATATGATTTTACAAGATATGTTTAGAATTTGTCCAACATTTGACATGTTAGCTTTTAGAGAAATGCCATATAAAGGTTAGATCTCTGTTCTCAAGCCATAAAATTATAAAATTTGGTGTCACGAGTCAATCAAGACATTCAAATCACTCGTTCATGTTACCTATATATATGGTAGACAATTCATACCCACAAGCTTAAAAGTAAATGAATAGCCAAAGTTCTCAAACTTGGGTTCTTGGTGAATTTGGTTAGATCAATAAGTTAATATTCTTAGAGAATATTTACGACTAGGACATGACAATTGTTGCCACAGACAAAAGGAGACTCAAGTTCTTTGGGGATAGGCGTTGGTTATTCAATTTGATATTTCCAAAGTTTGATTTCGGTAATTCAATACAATTAGAAGTAGATACCAAATACCGAACTTTGAAAATTTGGTCTGATACAATAAATCAAACTTTGGTAATTCAATTTATTGTGATTTAGGCGAACCCCTAATTGCATTGTAGTCTCAATCACAATCATGGAACCTTGTTTTTGGTGATGAGAGCAAGACAAACATAGCTCTATCTCCACAACCGGTTTCATATGGTTGGTTGTGTTATACAAAAAAATGTCTACAAATTTTAGTTAAAGATCTTGTAAGAAATATAGGCAACATGAAAGGAGAACATCCTTTTTGGATTTTCAGCAATAAGATTTTTGTTTTTGTTTTTATTAAGTAAACAAATTTAATTAATGAATGGACCAAAGCAAAGAATATCCATATACAAGAAGTATAGCAAAAGAGTAGTAAACCTACAAAAGATATGGTCCTCTATCAAAGACACCCAATCTTATATACAATATACGACTTCATGGGGGCACCAAAAGAAAAGAAGAAATAGAAGGCTACTCATTAACGGAACAAAACTCGTCTTATCCTTCAAAAGCTCTTTTGTTTCTTTCTCTCCAAATAACCCACAAGATAGCTAGTGGAGCAATAGTCCATGCCATGCACCTTCTCCCATAATTATAGTTGATCATTAGCTCTTATACAACTCTTGGAATCACCTATGAGATACCAAACCAACTGAATACTTCGCACCATAACCTCGAAGCTAGACTACAATAAAGAAGGAGATGATCCACACCTTTACCCGTCTCCTTGCACATGAAGCACAAACTAACACGAACAACCTTCCACTTCTTACGATTCAGAAAAAGAAATGGTACGAACAAAATATACCCATTTGTAAAATGATCAATCTCTCATTATAATAAATAAATTTATGGGTGGCTAATTATTTTAAAAGGGCTGATATTGTTTAAGTTTCATGAGGGGCGTTCAAGATTAGTGATACGACTAGAATAAGGAGTTTCTCTATAAAGTATATGATACCACAACAAGGAGGGAAACAATAGACAAGATAATATTGAGGAGCTAAGGGGAGTCATTCGTAGGAGTGGCAAACGAGCAGGTCGAGTCGAATATGAGTCGATCGAGAACGAGTTATATAAAAATGGAAAAAATACTTTATTCGACTCGACTCATATTTTAAATGGGTAAAAACAAGTTACCCAATGGATAATATGGGTATCCATGTTTACCCACATTATTATAGGGATCATCTTAAAAGCTTCAAAAGCAAGATCTCGACACTGAGACTTTTTTTTATTCCTTTTGGTTGATAAGAGTGTCCTTTTAGATTAATTGGATTGAAAGAAATAGAAGATTGTTTAAGATCGTAAGAATGATTTGAAAAAGTTATAACTTGTTTCTCTTCAGGTACACTATAGGTGTAAGAATTCCCTCTTTAATTGATAGTTGAGTTAACTTGTTATTATTAATGAAATCCTTCACCTGATCAAAAAAAAGTTGAGTAGACTTGATAGAAGAAAATGGTTGAGCCATACCCCCAATTCAAACATCTGTTTTGTATTGTATTTGTGTGTCATTAATGAAATACTTACATTTCTCATAAATATAGATATAATTACTGCATTAAGTAGTAACCTAAACTACATCTCTAAAAAAGGAAAGCCATAACGAGTATGAAATGCACCCCAGAAAAAAAAATCATATATCTTAAATTCCTGTACTTACCTACTTTTGTCAGTTCTGAGTAGGAAAAAAATTATAGGCAAAGATCCATCTGCTTTGGTAATTCTGAAGGCAACAAGAAGAAATATGAAGATGAAACCCATTACATTAATTATGACCAGAGTCCGATTTATACAAAATGGTTCTATAAAGATTCAATTATTAACATATGTTCTTTACTGAATTACTTTTTTTTCTTTGGAAATGATTTTTCTTTCTTACTGAATTACTCCAAGCAATTTCATGCCTTCTCTTTCATAAGGTTCACATAACTTTAACATCTGTTGGCAAATTAACTATCAAGTCATTCAAAAGCCCTTTTAAGTAAAAATCACAAAGAAAGAGAAAAACCCTTTTGAGCTGGTACCTCTCCCTAGCTCATGTAGTTAACAACATAGCTGCAGAAATCCATTCATGCAAATGTCAATGAAGAACAATTAAAAGAACTAGCAAGAGGGAGGAAGGGGGCGAATAATGGCATTAGCACCAGCACTTTCACAAAATTAGATTCTAACGACAGAGTGACAGAAAGAGAAAGTTGGAACACTTCTTCTGAAACATCTAAGATACTAAAGGAGTATAACTGATTGACATTGTTTTATAGGCTAATCGACAATTAGTTCAAGCTATTGTTCAAAGTCCTTCATTAATTTTGAGCAATGATTTGACATTTTCAAACTTGGATGCTAACCAAATTCAAGAAAAATGAGCACACTCCTACCTAAGGTAGCCAAGGAAAAAGAGTATTCGAGATGGATTTCAGGACCTACATTCCAGGGTAAAAATGTAGATACATTTGCAATAACATAAGGGACAAAAGAAAGTAAAGAACAATCATCAACCTTATTGTGTCTTCTTGGCAAACCAAAATGCAATATTGAGAATTCCAAAGTTACCTAAGTACAGAAAAACCAACACCCAGTTAACAAAACAAAAACAAAGATCAAATTGATTCAATGCAAGTGCATTGGGTAATGTAAATCAATTAACAAAAATGGGGGAAAGACGAAAGAAACCCTGGAAATTACAGAGAATAACAAGCAAAAAACACAGTGAAGAGACACAATCATCAACTTAGATATCAACGAAGCGTTACAGTTATGACTTATGAGTAAGGGGAAGTCCCAACTGAGAAACACTAGAAAACAAGAGTAAGTACAGGTCAGATTTTGTTGTCCACTTGACACTTGTCCTTTTTTCTGTTTCTCTTTTATGTTCACTTCTGTCTTTTAATTTACCAAGAACAAGACAACCAGAAAGTGGAGAGATGCGTGAACTGAACTGATATACGGATCAATTTTTGGCCATTTATATATGCCCCGCAGTGGAGGCTTGACTAAGAATTCTAGTCACAATGGACTAAGATTTGGACCAGGCCAAACAGACTATTTTGGTTGGATTTATACACCACTTTGTAATTAAACAGCATAGTAAATTCGAAAACTTAGAATGTCTGATATACTTTTTTATCAGAAAGATATATATAATTTTTTAATTAAGTATGAATGTTTAATCTCTCTCACCTATTCTTCACCTCTAAAAAGGAAGTCATAACGAGTATAAAGGCATCCTAGCCAAGATCATCTACACCTATCTTCATGCACTTCTACTTAATTACTTCTTTCAGTTTCCAAGTAAGAAAAAATTGATAGGTGAAGTCGTAAAGACCAGTTTGCTTTAACATTCCTGAAGGCAACACGAAAGATGAAGATGAACCCCATAAAATGGAATTTATGTCCATGATTACATTATGATCCATAACGAAATTCAATGGGAATGGTTCTTTAAAAGAGAATGACTAATAAGATCCTTTTTACTGCATTAGTAAGTAATTTGATCTCTTTTTCTCTCTACGGTTCACATTACTTCAACAGCTGGTCGCAAAATTAAATATCAATCACATATTATGCAAAAGCCCTTCTCAGTATAGGACACAAAGAAACGAGAAAAACACTTTTGGGCAAGGACTAGCTGAAAACAGATCTCCCTAGCTCATCTAGTTAACAGAGTAGCTGCATAAATCCCTTCATGTCAATGTCACATGAGAACGAGAAAAGAACTAACAAGGGAAAGGAGGGGCAATCAAACACATCATCATCACTAAACTAGAAATTTCGATTCTAACGAGAGACTGCCAGGAAGAAAAGATCATCATATCTTCTCAAACATCTAATATATTTAACAACATAACATGTGGACATTGTATTAAAGACTAATTTACAATTAGCTCAAGCTATTTCCCACGTTTTCCATTAATTCTTAGCAATGATTGGCCTCTGCAAACTTGAATACTTTGACCCAATTCAAGAAAAAGTTCACTCCCATATCCTATCAAGTCTAGTCACCTCCCCACAATTCTTCTTTGACCTACCTCTACATCTCCTAACTCCTTCTATAGCCAACCTCTTGCACCTCTTCACTGGCACACCCTAACACTTCCTCTTCACATATCCGAACCATCTCAACCCAATAGTCCCCTATAACTTTGTTCTTAATCATACTTCTATAGTATACCCACACATCCTTATGGCTTTGCAGAACTAAACTTCCAGAAAAAAGAAATGCAAGTAAATTAGCAGTAACATAAGTAGCAAAAAACTACTAGCAACCTTAATGTGTCTTCTCAGCAATCAAATCCGCAATCTTCATAATTCCAGTCATCTACGTACAGGAAAACCAACACCCAGTTAACAAATTTAACAAAAACAAAGATTAAATAAAAAAACAACATAAGTGCATTGAGTAATCAAGAAAGGGAACTCACAGAGTACAAAGAGGTCAAGAAACACAATGTTGAAGTGATACAATCAGCAACTTAGATATCATTGAAGCGGTTACATTTCGGAAGATCCGAGAAAAGTAGAGAAAGCTAGTAGAAAACAAGAGTAAATGCCGGGACAGCTTTATTTTTGTCCCTTTTTTCTTTCAGTTTCTCTATTACGTCTTCTTCTTTTTTTGCTTACTAAGAAGAAGACAACCGAATGGTAGAGAGAAGGATGAATACGCCATTGCCATTTACATACGTCATGCGGTGGAGCATTCATGATTCCTCAAGCAAGGCTCTTCTTTGTTTCTTCTTCCCTTTCTTCTTTATCGGTTTCTCATGTGAGTGTTCGAATTTTGGGGTTTCATTGCATTTAAATTGGAATAGAAAAAGTACCATAGGAGTAGTATTAAAAATTGAGAAAATTATAAAAATGGTCCCTTATGTTTGAGGGTACAGTCAAAATAGTCTCTTAAGTAAACATTTTATAGTTTTGATCCTTTAAATTTGTCATAATTTAACAAAAATGGTCTTTTATGTTTGAGGGTAGACTTAAATATACTCCCTCATTTGGTGTGAGGGATGAGAACAAATAGTCATGGGATTAAAACATAGTCCTAAAATTAAATTTTGATGTCTTGTTTGAGATAACTTATCCCACCATTTATATCATAGTGTGATGGGATAAGTTATTCCAAGATAACTAATCCCATAATAATTAATCCTGGGATAACTTGTTCCCGGTCAAATGACAAGGTTTCAATCTTTTAAGATTGTCAAAAAGTTAATATTTTTAGTTTTCAAACAAATATTTAGCAAACTATTTCTATTAGATTTGACAAGAATTGAGCAAAAAAGATTAATTATAAATATAAAAAAGAAAGTCTCATTAAATCCTGGAATATGTAACATAAAAAAGTATTAGTTACTAAAATAATATTAAAAAGGAATAATAGAATTTTCACATGAAAAAATTGCATACAAATAGTCTTTTTTTAAGTATACATTTTATAGTTTTGTATCCTTTGATTTTGTCATAATTTAACAAAAAATGATATTTTATGTTTGAGGGTAGATTAAAAATATTCTCTTAAGCATGTACTTCAAGGTTGAAGTCCTTTAAAATTTCCAAAAGTTAACATTTTTAGTCCAGCAAATTATTAAGCAAACTATTTCTTTTAGATTTGACAATAATTGTGCAATAAAAGATTAATTATAAATATAAAAAAAAGTCTCATTAAATTCTGAAATATGCAACAAAAAAATTAACTGAAATTACACCTTAAAAAATTACGTCAAATTTTAGAAATAACATGAACTACAAAAATTAGCAGTACTAAAAACAAGTGAAAATCGGCAATAAAACCAAGGGAAAATGTCAAAAGACAATGATTTTTAAAAAAAAAAAATGTTCAAAATTTTTATTTTTAAATGAATTTATTTTAGGAAAAATGACAAATATCCATCTGTTAAGTTTGCACAAAATGCATGAAAATACGATTAATATTTATTTAAATTTTAAAAGAAATTTGAAGGAGACTGACAAATTTGATTTTTATGCATAACAACTTCATCAAAAATGAGAAAATTAACTTCCCTAATGAAAGTAGAGATAGCCAATTTTACAAGTGACATTTTTGAAATGGAAGAAGTCGAAGGAGTGAACAAGTGTTATGGTAACAAGCCGTAAGAAAGATGAGAAGAGCTTTTCTTCCACCGGCCTTTATAAGAGTTTGGGAGTATCGTGAGATAGATGGTAGACAGTCAATCTTGCAATAACCATTGCTTGGCATTAGCCCTGGGTTGATCTCAGACTTTAATCAACCCTTTCATACTTCGAATCAACCGATCGATCAAGAGGTTAATCTCCTTTATTTGGAACGATAGCTAAAAGAAATTCATCATTTTATCTTGAATAAGGAAAGGGCATCATAACATCAACTCCAATTGAACAAGCTAAACCTTGAAAAACTGATTGTATGCTCCCCACTATCCAACACACCCATACCCCTACCTTCACTCCCACCTCACATAATATATGTCCAAATTATGTATAAATATTTTAGAATAAAGTAAGAAAAGAAGTAAGGAACATACTTATTTCCTAGAAACTTAACTCAAAATTTCAAAACAAGCGTTATTCGATAATATAAAAATAAAGTGTTAAATTATACTCAACTAGTGAACTTTTCCGCGCTTTGCGCGGTTATAAAGAGTGATAAAAATTTGAAAATTTTATTAAATATAATATTGATGTAAGAGAAAAATGTTTGATTACTACTTAGTATACTTCCAATAAAGTTATTAAATTTTTTACTATTTTGAACAAAAAAATTGCAACAAGAAATTCACATAAGATGCAAAATAAAGATAAATCATATCAATAAAAATGCAACATCATTCTTAATTCCTTATTCATTAATAAATAGAAGGAAAAATGTGAAATCAGTACACATATCTTTCGAGTTCTTGTGGACGTCCACTCCCACAAGCCGATCACCATTCTTCAAATCAAATTAAAATATGAATATAATAAGCACCGAAAATATAACAACCTAAAAACCTAATGTGATCTTCTATAAAAAATTTATAGTAATTTTATTTGCAGGGCTACAATATGAAACACCAAATAATATGCTGAATATGACTATTAATTATTTTATAGGTCATAATAATAAAAAGTTGTGTAGAGTAATTAATGAAAATAAAGACAAATTAAGTTTTACATTTAACTATTCTAAAAATGTCTTTTTAATTACTTTGTAATGCACATTTAATATAATTAACAGAGTTAAATATTTTTTAAATTCTTTTAATATAGCACATAAATTTTTTTTAAAAATTGTATTTCTTGACCAAAGAAAAATATCACCCTCACTTTTTCTCTTCCTAACTGTTTTGTGGTGATATAACTATTTAGCACAAGTCAATAAGTTACTAAAGATTTTAAAAGAAATATGTATATATCAAAATAATTTACAATCCTTCTAAAAATTAAATATCCACTTAATATATTTCAGCAAGAGGAATATGACATATTAATAAAGTAAAAAGTTTAAAATTTATCTAATTAAGACTATCAGTCAATAAAAAAATCCAAATCTTAACACAATTTTAAATATAAAGATCCTTATACTTGTTAAGTTTAAAATTATTAAGTACAAATTTAGTCAAGACTTCTTGTTAATTTGTTGATAAATTCATCTTAACTATTCTATTAGAATGTAACAAAATAAGCTTATCCGTGCTTAAAATTATCTGAACATATAGTTATTAGTTAACACATTTTCATTTGGAAGTAAGTTTTAAACATATAATTAACACTTTTTCATTTTTAAATAAATTTTGAACCTGCAAGTAAAACATAATAGTTCGAATTCAACAATCAATATATTTTGAACAATATAATTAAAAAAATTAATATTATTTTCCAAAAAATTAAACCAAACCTCTAATATGTATGAATAATGAAACTAATAAATCAATCAATTACAATATATTGAGATAATTTTTCATTTAACATCTCTTTATTATCCAATAATTTTTTTATTATTATTTTGGGTGTTAGATGAAAATAGAGAAAATACTCAAATGACAAGATGCTTCTGTAAGAATCTTTTCCATGTCTGCTCCTTCATACATGTCTCGACAATCACCAATATCACACCATGCCATGATAACTTGCAGAAACAATTACAATTTCTCATAAAAAAATAATATTAAATATTCTCTAATAATGTAACAACAATAACATATTTAGTGTAATTTCACAAGTGAAGTATGAAAAAAATAGAGAGACAGAAAAGATATGTCTTGAAATCCTTAGCTTGATAAAGCCTGCCAAATTCATTGAAAAACAAAAGAGAGGAAGGAAACATATGAACAATGCATTTGTATTTAATTTAATATAAATATCCATATTATGAACCTCTTTACAACAATCAAACAATTTCATAAAAATGTAAATCTCAATTTGCTGGAACAATTATTTGACAGTAAGAAAGATGCCTCAATGTTTATTGTATATACAATATAATCATCATATTTTCATTGATTATATAATTTAAATGAAATGAAAAAAATTAAAAAATTCACAATAGTATAAACATAAAAATAGTAAGGAAGTTAAGATTACCTTATGTCTCTCCAAAGTATTATTTTCTAATAGAAATATTGAAAAGCTAGAAAAGAAAATTGTGAAAAAAATCATGGCTGGATTTGAATTGGGTCTCCTTTTGCTACCATATTTAAAAGAATATTATAATGACTTTTAATTAATCTTAATAAATAACATTAATGAAGAATATGAAAGGATAATCAGTTTATACACAAATAGAATAAAGAGATGAATTTGATGAAATTGAAGATGGAATATAAGAAAATGATATAAATGACTATAATAAAAAAAAAAGTTTATACTATTATTTTCTTGAAAGAACGTGAAAGAAAGAAAAGAAAGATAAGAGTTAAAAAAAAAAATAGACAAAAAAATATAGAGGGTTTAAAAAAATAGATAAAAATATATATTGTAATTAATTTTTTATTTTCCTTAAATGGTGATGCTCTTTATATACTCACAATATTTTTAATCATTATGTTAATAATAAAATTTGCAAATGATTTCATTGTTTCATCCCAGAAATACGTAATTATTCTAAATGAAATTTATAATTTTTAATATTATAGAGAATGCCAAAAGTTTCAGATTAGGATATTAGAATATATTTTTCCGGAAATGGGATCTTTCTTCCGTTTCCAACTATATAATTAATAATTAGAATATTAAATGTGATTATAGAATATTGAATTAATCTTTCTCTTTCCTTAATTATAGTAAAATTGTAACTAAACATCTATTGTAATCTTTCTCTTTCCTTAATTATAATAAAATTGTAATTAAACTTTTATTGTCCATAAATGGTGATTTTCTTTCTATTCTTGCAATGCAATTAATGTTTAATATATTGAATGTAATATTAAATCATATTATATTTAGTGTGATGAAAAATAAAAAAAAATTGAGAAAATAAATAAATAGGAATCTTGACTTCTAAGAGGTGCCACATCAGCGGTTTCTCATTCAACTTTATATATATATAGATTGTATGAAATAAATAAACTAACTTCAAGTTAAATTCACCTTGTTGATTGACAACCTAAACTTTCACCTTATCATTGAGAGTTCAAATTGGTACATTGTAATCCCCTCCCTCAGTTTCCTTTTTTTTTAATACCCCCATCAAGAAAACTTTTTTATTTTTTTAAAGTTACATTAACTTGATTTCACATGGCCAAAATAAAGAGATACCACAGGATAAGAAGCATTATATTGTTAATAATTTTATGATTGCAACTTAGCAACAAGCATCCGTTATCGTCCAGCGGTTAGGATATCTGGCTTTCACCCAGGAGACCCGGGTTCGATTCCCGGTAACGGAACTTTTTTGTTTTTAAAAAAAAATGTTTTCTCCTTGTTAAACAATTCTATTAAGTTCTTAGGAATATAAATGTTTCTAAAAACACACAATAGAACAAATCTTCATTGAAAAGTCATTTTGTTTAAAACAATAAAAAAAATGAGTGAAATGTATTACTTTTAGGGTGGGCTTCCGATTCGGTGTCAGTGTTATTTTTTCAAAAGTTCGATTTTTCGATTTAGTGTTTGGTGTAAGAGTTTCAGAATTTCAATTGAACTTTTATTAAAAAAAAATAAAAAAAGATATATATTTTTTATTTATGGGCATTTCCTTAACTAAAAATAAAAAAGTCAACTAACAATTAAATCATTCATGACAAATCAAAGTAGCAACAAATTTATAATTCAATAGTTAACTTCAAATATTATTTTTCGAGAGGAACCCAAACGTATTTTTAGTTGACACAATAAATGTTCTATGGCGAACATATATAGTTTTAAATTTTTAAGTGTCTTAATCTTTTAATTTTTTCCTCATTTTATTTTGAGCAACTTTCACAAATAACAAACATAAAAATCATATTTGTATGTTATAGCTATAGTTTGCATAATTGTGTTCCATAACAAACTTTATGTTTGATATGACTATTAATATGTATATTTCGTTATACATATACAAAATAATCAATTGTATAATCTGTGTTTGTATAAAGCGAGAAAGATAGAAAGACAAAAGAAAATTGGGTAGGGGAAGATTTGTATTTGTATAATCATAAGTGTATAAGACGAAAATATATGTATTTGTTTATACAATTTTCTCTCGTTTTATACAAATACAAACACAATTTATACATTTGTGTTTGTATAAAGTGAGAGAAACTGGTGAGCGAGATCTAGGAGAGTGGTGAGCGAGATCTGGGAGAGGGAGAGAGGGGAACGAAAAGATATGTATATGAACAATTTTCTCTCGCTTTATACAAACACAAACACAAACACATTTTATACATTTGTGTTTGTATAAAGTGAGATGGGTGAGGAGAGACTTCCCAACGAGAAACGATAGTGGCGAGCGAGAAAATCAGGGAGAGAGGCGAAATGACAACAGTTTGCTACACGTTACAATTAAATCAAACTGTGGTTATAACATTTAATTTGAATTAATATTTTCCTATTTTATACAATTTTCCCTTTTATTTTTCATTCACACCGAAAATCGTTTCAAAAATACTGAACTAAACTGAACTGAAGTAGAAAAACCGAGCTGCACTGAATTAGTTTGGCTTGATAAACAATGCACATTTTCTGAAAACCGAAGAACCAAATCGAAGTTTGATAAAATCGAATCGATATTACTTTAGCTAAATAAACAAGTTCATCGAAATTTTAGAATCCTTGACTTTTTACTGTGCTGATTATAAAATGTGGCGGGAAGCTAACGAAGATGTGTGAATATATGCTTATCCACTCCAGGACAAAACTGTGTGTACCAAAATTGAACAAATATTTCAAATTTTTAACCAACAATGGCTACTCTTTGTATGTCTTCATCTTCTTTAGTTAAACTTCACCAAATCTCCCCCTTTATTCATTCTTCTTTCCCAGCAAATCCAAATCTACTTCGGAGATCATTTTTCGATCATTTTACGGCCGTCAATTATGTACCGGAATCTTTGAAATTGAGGGCAAGGGTTTCCTTATTTCCGTTTTTCTTTACCAAAAGTGAAGACACTGAGAGCCTCAAGCAGGAGCTTCTCGAAGCCATAGCCCCACTTGATCGCGGTGCTGAGGCCACTCCTGAAGATCAAAAGCTTGTTGATCAGGTGGGTCATGCACCTTGTGTAATATATTCTTTTGTTTTGAATTATTTGTGGGTATTGTAGTTTATGATGTTGTTGAAGTTGAAAAATTGTTATTTAGGACTTAATTGGAGTGTTAAAGTAAATAATAAAGGGCATATATATAATACATAACTGTGGGTATTGAGAGTACAAGTCTAGACACCTTAACTTGGTCTCAACTGACAACTCAACACTCTAATTTGTCCCCATGGTGTCTTGTGGATACCCAACATTGACGTGACATAAATTTTGAAGGTGTCTAGAAGATCATTTTGTAAGTTGGAATGTTCAACTGACATAATGGAGACGAGTTGGGGGTTTAGATATGCATACTCAAAGTTGGAGTGTTTACTTGCCAGCTAAGGTTAAGTTTGAGAGAAGCCTTTTAGCTCCTATTTTGCTGCTGGTGCATTACTAGCCTAATGTGTATGCAGATTGCAAGCAAACTTGAGGCAGCTAATAAAGTGAAGGAGCCCCTGAAGTCGAGCTTATTGAATGGAAAGTGGGAGCTTTTGTATTCTACATCTCAATCAATTCTACAAACCAAGGTCTGGTCTGATTTTATCTTTCTTATGCACATTTCCAGAAGCTAAGATGCTCCTGCTCGTTTATCATCTGCTCTTTTCTCGAGGGAACAAATTACTTCAATTACGAAGACTGTTGGTTTTAGATTCATACAAGTAGTAAAAGTTTAGGGTGTACATACAAAGGGAAAATAGATAGGTAGTTAATCACTTCCACCCTTTTGTTCTTTTGTCATAATTTAACTCCATAGGTCATTGCCTGCCCATAGGTTGGCAAATTTTGAAGCAGTTTCTTGGCTTTTACTTATCTTCTTCTAACTAGACTAAATGAGATATGCAAAGGATGATATCTACAATAGTCACAGTAAAGTTGCTTATTCTTCATTTGATATCAGTTACTATAATTGTTTTTAGGTATAATCAGAAGCAAGTTTAGACCTCCTTTTCTCGTCCTTTATTAATTTTTACTCTAAAAAATATTATCGGTTTATTTAGCATGCTACAATCTTAAGTGCATTGATTAGCCTCAAGAAATAGGTCAGATGTGAGAAGAATTGTGATACTCATTCAATACATAGTCATTGCTTTCAGTTTACTCCATTATTAATGAAGATTCATCATTCTCTTCTGGTTAAATCTTCTGATGACCAAACAAAGAACAAAAGAATGCTTCCATTCTTCAAATATCAAGCATAAATAAGTTATGCTTTCTATTTGCAGTGATGTCTCAGAGTCTGCCTTTAATATTTTTTCCTTCTTCTTTTGAGAGTGTTGGATGATTGATTCATTTTCTCTTTTCCTTCTGTATTGTGAATGTTGGTTTTAGATCACAAGTTTCAATTTGTTTTCTCAATTCCAAACATCAACAATATGCTAAGATGTATTCTAAAGTGACATATGACAACAACTTTCTAAAAGGGAAAAAAAGAAGGCAGCAATGTATGTTGAGCGAAGGAAATTGGATTGGGTCAACCCAGATCCATATTAATAAATAAATAATATATAATTATTATATATTTAATTTATTAATTAATAAAAGAGAAGAGACACAACTATTTGAAAATTGTGTCCCTTTAGAATTATAAAAGGATTTCAAAACAGAAAAAGTTTCATTGAAGATTCTTGTGAAGATTTCTTCTTCGAAAGGGAACAAACTTCTGTAACAAGTATATAATTATTGACTGTGATTATTTTGGTGTAGTTCGTGTTTCATAAAGATGTGATTGCAATATTAGACTAGTGCAATGAATTCAATGATCCTCCAAACTGTGTGTTTGATTAGATTCTTCATTGAGCTATTTTCTTCATTGTGGTTATTTTCTTGTTTGATGTGCTTCATTTCTAACTGTAGTGACAGGGTTCTTATTAGTTTATTACTGTCGCAGAGGCCCAAATTCTTGAGAGCCAATGGAAAAATTTACCAGGCTATCAATGCAGATACATTGAGGATTCAGAATATGGAAACATGGCCATTTTTCAATCAGGTCCCTTTTTAAACTCATAGAGAAATATCAAAGGATCTCCAGTCTTTCTTTCTTTCTTTTTCTGTGAAATATTGTCCTATTTAATCTGTAACTTGTGAAAATTTGCCTGTTTCTCCAGTAATTGTATAAGTAAGGCTCAGAAATCTAGTCAAGTAAGTTTTATTTGCAATTCAAGGACTACATTCTTTTAGCAGGAGTACTTGGGCTGCACCTCAGGTGCTTCATACACACTCATGTCCATTTGGTAACTTGATTTTCTGGTCTGTGATTTATATTGGATACCTCTTTAGTTTTGTCACCTTCATGAGTATATGCAGCCTGCTGATTTCAAGAAGGTCGTTCTCAAAACTATTGTTAACGTTGAAGAAGTTATACTCACAGCCTCACACACTCACATTCTTTATGATGAAATATTTCCATAAATAAACCACACAGAAAAAAAGAAGAAGATTGATTTTGATCTCAGTATTAGTATGTGATTTAGTTATAATTTATAAGCTGCTGGAGCTGCTTTCTTTTATGGAAGTTTGCTGTGAAAAAGGTAATGCACAAAACTGATGCTTGATTTCAGTTGGGACAGATATCATAGGCTGTCTTTTGCACCTTTGAAAATAGATAAAACTGTATTTTCTATCATGATGAGATTCTCATTGTCCTGGATTCCAAGAGAAAAACTCGACAGATGTTTAAGAAAGGATCATCCACTGTCAGTTACTATAAAAGAAAAATGTTTTCTTTTGATTTTTGCAATAAAGTTGAAGTCAGTTTTCTAACATATCTGCAGGCTACTGCCAATTTAGTTCCTCTTAATGCACGGAGAGTTGCTGTAAAATTTGACTCTTTCACGATAGCAAGTCTGGTAAGTAACCTTCATTTTGGCAAGGAAATTTAATCAGCTTGCATTCTATTGTAGTATTCATTAAGCAACAAGATGTTTCTTCTTTACGTCGTTATAAAGTATCAAACAGGAAGAGTACTGGAGACACGTACTGCACATTGCTACTCTCTTTACCTATCTCTGTCTATTGCTTGCTTCAAGAAAATTGGCAAAAAACATTAAATAAAATTTGTAAAGCTTTGCTTGTTAACTTTTATTGGATCAATCTTTCTTCTGGCTCGTAGATACCTATAAAGAACCGCGGAAGTGGTCGTGGTGAACTTGAAATCACATACCTGGATGAAGAACTAAGGTAAAGGAAAATAACCCACTGTTTTCAATTGTGTCACATACCTTTTTCATGCAACATCATTTGTTACAGGATATCAAGGGGCAACCAAGGAAACCTGTTTATTCTAAGAATGGTGGATCCATCATATAGAGTCCCTCTTTAAGCATGGCTCCTGTGGATAGTAATTGTCTCAAGCAATCGCTCTTAGAACCATTTCAGTTGGACTTCAGCGTTGGAACTAGTTCTCATGACGCGTACAAGCTTGATCAGATTTCCGATCAACAATAATAAAGATATGCTTCATGGTAAAGCTAAACAGCATAGTCCAACTTGCTTCACATCTTACTGTGCTATGATTGACCATCATAATAGCAAATAAACTCATTGCTTGTAGTTTGATCAAGGGACTACATCTCTTATGATGCATAATATAAGTGAATTGGTTTTCAAGTTCAACTTATGGAAAACATTAGGACTCTGAGAAATAATCTACTAAGGTTGTAGCAAGGACTATATGTCAAGACATAATTTCTAATTGTTTTAAAGGTGATCAAGATGATTCGACTGTAATAGAGCATACATTTGAGAAAAAAATGATTAATTTGTATGTTGACCAATTCAGGGTTGAGAAATTCAGTTCTTCAAACTCAAGATATAACTTTTGTTATTTCAGATAGAATTATCAAGTGAGTGTGTTGACATTATATAGATTTCAAATACTCATTAGAATAATAATAGTCGAAATACAGCCAAATTAGTCGAAAGCCACATATGCACCATAAAAATAAATAAAAATATCATCATTATTACTCTATACTTACTATTAAGTAGTATGGTAATAATAGTTAGTGTTTTCAAAAATGTTTTTGATGTAGGTCTCAGGGCGGGGTGTACCAAAAATGCTCCAGAGCGTAAATTAAAGACATAAGTTCATAAGGCGTAAGTTCTAAAAATTGAGGCGTAAGCTTTGAGCATAAAAACATAAGTCCAGAGCGTAAAATCGTAGGTCCAAGCGTTTTTAATTTATTTTTTGAACATTTTTTTACTTTAAATCATATTTTTTTATTTTTGGTGTAATGATATTTCTCAAATAGTAATAATTTCTATATGTTATAGGTTATTTATAAAAAAATATTTGTAAAATCATTGAAAAGTTTATAGTAACAATTTCTATAGGTTATTTATAAAAAAAAATTTGTAAAATCATTGAAAAGTTTACTTTTACTTATTTTATTAGTCATAAAACTATAAAATTAAATATAGATGAGATTACGTCCGATAGATACATGAGGCTTATGCACCGATCCACCTTTTAAAACACTGGTAATAGTAATAGTAATTGTTAAGACAAGAAAAGAAAAAGAATCTTTGATTGGAACTCAACGAATCATTCTCTCCAAACTCAACAATGGAGCAAAGAACAAAATCCAAATGAGTAGTTCGTTTCCCACGACAAAATCAACTGAGTTTCATGTTCCAAAAGCTAACAATTTTACAGAGTAGAGGGAAAATCAGTATACAAAAACAGAGCATCTACGCATGGACGAAAGACATACAAATACATATGAAACATTTTATCCATCAAACGGCTTCTTCCTCTACTTCTTCTTCTTCTTCCTCTCAACCTAACAAATCAATGGCTGCTTCACTATCTTCCCTTTTCCTCTCAAACCCTCGTCCTTTTCGCCCTCCTATAAACCCTAAATCTAATCCCCATCTCGTTTTTCCACTTCGTACCCTCACTTTCTCCGCTAAATCTAACCCACCCCCTCCGAACTCCAATGCAAAACAACCACCCACCATCAGAGAACCGCCGTTGCCTACTCCGCCTGTGGGGGATGAGAAGAAGTCGTTTGCGGTGGCGACCGGCGAGCTTTTCCTTGGGATTGCTTCACGAGTGTTGAGGCGTGGAAATAGTTTAGTTAATGGGTGGAATGAGGAGCCGGCGGGTGTGACTATGTTCAAGGATGATGAAGTGAGTGAGTCTTACTTTCTGAAAAGGAGGAAGGAAGGGATAGCGTCGGTGGTTGAGGACCCTGTTCAGCCGGAGGTTGTGTGGGAACAGACGGAGAAGGATGTGGAAGCTGAGAAGAGCCTGAAAACGGTGACTAGCCCTGGGTTTAGCTTCTCTGCTGCTGGGCTTTTGTTTCCCTATCATCTTGGGGTTGCTAAGCTTCTCATTGAGAAGGGATATATCAAGGTTTGACATACTCTTCATTTACTTTGAGACTACTATGCTCTTTATTTTAACTTGGTTCATCTACTTCTTTGAGAATTTAAGGTTGCTATGGACCGACCTTCTGTAGTTTTATTGAGCTTTTCCCCTGATTATTCAAGCATCTTGATTTGCTAATAAGCTTATCGTGTGAGAGGATTACAACTAGTTTGGGTGGTTATTACCTATTGTATTGTGTTGTTAGTTTAAATATAATCTGTTAAATCCATCGTTACGTAACGATGAAAAGTCCCATTTTGTGTAACCATCAATTTGTTGTGATCGAGTCTGTTACCTTATTCTTTTTCCTCACTTAATCTTTACTTATTATCTTATAATTCTACTTTATCCTTTACCCTACCTTACCTTTTTATATAGTAGCTCCGTTTTGTACCATACTTTTCTTGTAAGTTTATCTTCAAATTGCTGATGTGTGAGATTATGTAACGATTGAAAATTGTCTGATCTATTCAAACGTTGTATTCATCTAAACAATACAATACAATACGATACATACAACATACTAATAATGTGTAATACGATACATTATGAAACAATATGTAACAACACTCCAACCAGAGTGTAAGGTCAACAAGTTAACAAAAATGTAATACTGTACATTAAACCACTTACCTACTGGTCGGAGGGTCTTGGTTGAATGTTCTTTTTTTTTGGTTACAAAAGGATTACAAAGATGTCTTTTCACAGTCCGACATATTTCTTCTTTCCCAGGAGACAACACCACTAGCTGGTTCTTCTGCTGGTGCAATTGTCTGTGCAGTGGTTGCTTCTGGTGCCAGTATGCAAGAGGCTCTAGATGCTACTAAAATATTAGCTCAAGATTGTCGGCTCAAAGGGACAGCATTTCGCCTTGGGGTAAGTGTCATAACAGAATTTCTTAATTGTGCAAGCTATAAAAATCATACCCATTCATAATTATGTTTACAATTGATAGGATTGCTCTCAGTCAAATTCTATGAAACAGATTTAAGCTATAAATCATAGTACAACAACAACAACAACATACCTAGTGTATTCCCACAAGCAGGGCAGCTATAAATCAGTCTTTTGTAAAAATAGAATAGATCAATTGAAACTTTATAATGTGTTTGGCTCAATCAAAGTGTATGAATTGGGTATATAAGAGTAAAAAACTTAAAAGTAACAAGTGTGTAGCAATTTTAATCATGACTTGATTTGTCCACTTAAAATTGCAATCTCTTATTTGGAGACAGATTGCAGATTTTCTATCTCACTGGAAAATACCTTATGTGGTTAAATGCTTTATTTGTGTCATTGAGATTTTCTAGAGTATTGTTCTTGAAGACTTGTATTTAGCATTTTTGGTATTTAAATGTTAAAGCATCTAAAAATGTCATTGTGTACCAGGCTGTTCTTAGAGAAGTTCTTGAGAGATTTCTTCCAGATGATGCTCATATTAGATGCAATGGAAGAGTTCGTGGTAAGTGTAGATAAACTTTGTTCATCCTAGCTGATATTTGAAGCTGTTCCGAAATATAATATGGTTTCTCTGAGTTGAGAATAATGTAGTCATTTCATCCCAGTTGCTGTAACACAGATACTTTGGAGGCCCAGAGGCTTATTGGTTGATCAGTTTGATTCAAAGGAAGATCTTATCAACGCTGTCTTTACTTCTTCGTTTATCCCAGGGTACACATTCTTTCTGGCTTTATTAGCTTCTCTTTTAGCTCAAGCTTTAATCTAAACCTTCAAAGTATCATGAATCACAGATATCTTGCTCCAAGACCAGCCACGTTTTTCAGGAATAGACTGTGTATTGATGGGGGGCTGACACTGTTTATGCCGCCGACATCTGCTGCTCAGACGGTAACTTGTTAAGAAATTAGTCAAATAGTCCGCTGTCATTTGTGGATGCTAGTTGTAGGTTGATTTTGCTGTTGTATGTCCTGTGCATTGAAATAATTTGAAGAGGAAAAGCATTTCATAGTCACTGATTTGCAATTCTAAGAAAAATGCTGCCTCCTGACTTTGACGAGAAGCTCTTAAAAAGAAAAAAAGGAGGGGGGGGGGGGGGTCTCTGAAAACCTCGTCTGTTCACCTGACTTCACTCTATATTGTAGAGAGTGACGCTTACTCAATCCAACCCATTTAGAGATACTTATATGACCCATACATTTATGTAATTGACTCAACCCAACCCATCAAGTCATCTGATAACTAGCTGTCAACTGAAGCCTTGTGTGCAGCTCTGGAATTAGTTGGGAGTTGCTAATATACACATTTATGATCTACTGCAAATTAGTAGTCTTTCCTGTTTAATAAGTTACCTGAAATCAGAATGCATTTTCCCTGTCCTCATCTCTTCTAATGTAGCCTAAAACTATTAGCAGCAAATTTGCAAATCTCCCTTGGTTGCTGATTACCTTTAATTCTTAAGATTTTATCTGGCATGTTTGATATGTAACCTACTTGTCTTTAGTCTTCTGCACGAACTTCATTTCCTTCTTGTTTTTTTCCTTTCGCTGTCTGTGCCGATACTGTATTTTCCCAGTTTCATCTTGTTGCTTTTCCTCCACTGCTACATTTACCAGTATTTATTTGCAACTGTTCATGATTTCTTTTTGTAATGGTGGTATTCGGGACAATTTTTGTGCACCTCAACTATTCCACTGGTACTTGCTACCTCATACGGGCACATGTACCAAGTAATTATACCTCCAAGGTTTAGGCATGGGAAGTAATCACCTTGTGTGTTTTTTTTGTTTCCACTGCAACATGAACCCTGGTCTCCAAGGTTAACACCCATTTCAATCACCAGGGTACAACAACCTTGGGTGCTAACAATTTAAGTTTTTTACTTGCTAGTTCTACAATAGAAACATCGGTGACTTGTCAGGATATTGATTTCTGTTCATATGATTCCTGGGGTAGTTGATAACTGATTGGTTGTATCCAGGTGCGCATTTGTGCATTTCCAGCCGGTCGTTTGGGATTGCAAGGAATTGGGATAAGTCCTGACTGCAACCCTGAAAATAGGGCCACTCCTCGCCAGGTACTTGAACATCCTCCAGTAAATTGCCAGATTTTTCTAATGATAGACCAATAACAAGTTCTATCTCCTCTTTTTTCGGCCACAATTTGCAGCTTCTCAACTGGGCACTTGAGCCTGCAGAAGATGATATTCTTGATAAGCTCTTTGAACAAGGTTATGCGGATGCAGCTGTGTGGGCCCAGGAGAACCCAGTTGAGGACTTAATTCGAGATGATGACAGTTCTTCCATAGGCAGCAGTCTTGTACAATAGGTTTATCATAAGGACTGATTTAGTTTAAGAGTGTATGAGATCAAGATGATACACGGACGCTGCAATGATCAGCTCTAGGTATACTTCAACAATGATGGAGCTGTTGCCTTAACAAGGAGCTGATACTGAGGAAGAATGAAGAGGGTCCGAAACTTGTGGTAGGTTAGCAGCAAGATTTTGTATATAACATTGCAAAGATGTAAATTGTAAAGGATTCACAGAAAAACAAAAAAGAGCACAGGATTTTGAATATGGAGTATTATTGGGGTTCTACTTCTACACTTCCTATACCAGTTACTGATGGAAAAAAGTAGGAGCAGCCCACTATTTTAGAGACTCTAGTCATAGCAGACCTTTTCAGTTGAAGTGAATGTTGTTGTAAAATACTACTTACTACATATTTGTGATAATAATTCTGTAATATCAGCAAGATTTATATCATAAGCTCATTGTTTAAAGATGCTATTCTGTCTCTATTTTCTGCATTAAAAACAAAAAAAATGTGACCAGTTGGAGATGCGGGGTATCGATCCCCGTACCTCTCGCATGCTAAGCGAGCGCTCTACCATCTGAGCTACATCCCCATATATCACTTTAAGTTCCAAATAACTTATATGTATTATATTAATTACTCAAAAAGAATAACTCCTTTATATATTTAATACTAACAGTGTAATTTAAAATTGTTCATTTTTATCCTTAATTAAGTGATTTATAATCATACAAATATTTATGATTTATTTGAAATTACAAATTTTAAAAATCTTTTTCTTTCTTCTTAAATTTCATGTCGAATAAAATAAACTTCATATAAATCGATATGAAGGAAATGTATAACAATGAACTTAATAATCTTTTTAGCAAACAATGAATGGAAGTAGGGGTGTGCAAAAATCGATTTAACCAATAAATCAATATTGGTTTATTGATATTGGGTTATTGGGCTAATGGTTTTAAAACGGTTTTGCAAATTTTTTTATTGGGTTATTGGTTCGGTTTCCGGTTTTATAATTTTTGTTAATGGTTAAACCGATAACCCAATAAGACTATACTAAATTTACTAGTCTTATTGTTAATGGTTAAACGATTGTTACTTTCACACTTTTTGTTAATGGTTAAACAATTGTTACTTTCACATTTTTTCCTTTGAATGTGTCTAGTATCTAAACTTGCAAGAAAATGATTGTTACTTTTATGATTATTACTTTCATGCCAAATGCTAGAAAAATCATATGGTTTATTTGAATTTTTTTTTATCGTGTATATAATATATATGAGTATTTTCTTATTGGTTAAATCGAAAACCGAACCGTTAAGTACCATAAATCGATTAACCAAAAACCGATAAGAAATATGTTATTGGTTTGGTTATCGGTTTGAAGTATTTATAAATCGAAAACCGATAAACCGAATCAATAACACCTAAAACCGAACCGAACCGACCGATGCGCACCCCTAAATGGAAGTGCTTTACGTCTAAAATTCTAATTCTATTTTCTAATAAAAGTTAATACTCAATCAATGATGTGTGCTAAAGATAGACTCAAAGTGCACTTGCGACCAAAAGATTCAAAATGGTAGAAAATGAAAGTACACCAAATGAGAACAAAGAAAATTTGATTAAATAACATATCACATGTGAATCATATGGAGCTGTATTTTTAAGTTCATATTCAACCACATAATTTCTTTACACTTTATACCAACATCAAACTTGGTATTGAAATAGCTACAATCTATCCGTCACCAACAAAGGTTATAAATAGCTAAGAGAAATATCTTTACCTAAATTATACTATTATTTACTGAAAAAATCGTCATTTTGATTAACAATAAAATTTGTATAAAGAAATTAAACATAAGTTTGTTAAGGTCAATTAACTTTATTTTTCTTTTGACTATAATATCATGTGCCAATATAGGAATACAATCTACTAGAAAGGAAAGAAAGAAATAAGGGAGGAGAAGCCCAAAAGTCTTCTTCCGTGGAAATTAAGAGAAGAAGATAAAAAAAACTAATGTGTTCTTTATTGGGATTTTCTAATGCATTATATACTCCTACAAGCCTTCTTTTATAGGTTACAAAAGTTAAATCGTCACCTCAATATAAAATAATTGTACATTTAAGATTGAAAAACTATCTTGTGCTTATTCTCTAATGTTTCACCTGAAATTTATTGGAGCAAGTAGGCTTGTAAGACGACTTTCTTTGGACTCTGGGTGAAGCTCCTATGAGATATGTCTGGTCGAGTAAATTTTGCACAAGCGAGTCCTGAGGCACATTACTACATACCTAGAGCAACTCCTCCCCATTTTTTTCTTCAGATTGTGGCAAACACTCCTTCGATTATGATTTTGGACAAATTACATAACTACACTCTTTTACTTACCTTAATATCTATTTATCCCTACTTATTTCAAAATTTTCAAAAATCCCTTATTTTACCTATGTATCCCGTGCACAACGCTATGTATCCCGTGCACAATGCTATGTATCCCGTGCATAACGCTATGTATCCCGCTATGTGGAATGTTTCAAACCTAATGTATCCCGTGCACAACGCTATGTATCCCGCTATGTGGAATGTATCAAACCTAATGTATCCAGTGCACAACGCTATGTATCCCGCAAACATCATTTTTAAGAGATTTTTGGTAAATAGAAAACTAGAAGGGATAGGATGTTATTTAGTACTTATAATATGTGGTTCCTATAATTTATACTATGATTTTACTCTGTATCACGGCCCAATACATTCTTTTTACTAAAGCCCATTTTTCCCCTAATACACATATTTACTCTTAATTTTTTTTAAAATTTAGATATATACTATAATGTTACATACTCCGATTTGCAATTAAAATCTTTTTAAAGTTTCGTTCATATAATTATTGTCCATGTAGGGAAAGCTTTATAATGACTTTTATTTTTTATTTTTTATTGAGAAACAGAAATATTTATGAGATTATAGGCAAGATTGGAAGTTGAGGGACCAAATTTGAGTTTTCCGAAACTTGAAGTGTTGAAAGAAGTTATAAATAAGTGTAACTATCTGTAAAATGCATTATTAATTATTTCGACTTCAGATCCTCCTAAAATTAAAATAGACAGAAAAACAACCTAACATTACCGTCTTCTCCAAAAAAAAAGAGAAAAAATAAATCAAATTTATCGGAGAATGGTGAGAATTGTTGTTGAAAGTTGAAAAAGATGCACAGCAAAGTTGTTGTTGGAGTAGAATTAGTAAGTTCTTCATCAGGTTTTTGTGGACTCAATCACCGTCTTCATCATCCATTCTTGTTCAAGACTCTTTGCTGCACCAACAATTCCTCTTCTTCATCATCTTCTTCGTCGGACCATAAGTTCAGGTTTAATCTTGGGGGTGATAGGAAGTGGAAGTTCAAAGATATTGATGCCAGTAAGTTCATTACCCTTTTCTTGAATTTCTTTAGTCTTGCTCTTTTCTTGAATTTCTTTAAGTAAAAAAAAATTACAAGATTTCAAGATTTGTTTAGTTAGGTCCAACTTCTTGAGTTTAGTTTTGGTTTGGGACTTTCTATGTTTACTTAAGAGTAAGTGGGAGATTCCGAAAACCTATAAAACAGAGCTTTAATTTACCCTTTCTTTCAATTTCTTTATTATTGCTCGTTCCATGTATTATAGGGTTTAAGTAAAAAAAAATTACTATGTATGATTCAAGATTTCAAGATTCGTTTAGTTAGGTCCAACTTCTTTTGTTTAGTTTGGTTTGGGACTTTCTATATTACTTAAGAGTGAGTGGGAAATTCGGAAATCCTATAAAACAGAGCTTTAATTTGCCATATGATATATAATAAACCAACGATTCAATTTATCCATAATAGGCTTCAAGAATCAAGATTCAAGATTCAGGATTCAGGATTCATTTCATTGAATCGCCGAGGTGGTGTAGAATGAATTGTACTGTGCTTGGTAGTGATGGCCTATCCAGTATATGAAATAAATATATATATTTAGAATTTGCACCCTAGTCTTCCTCTTACACAGTTGTCGAATTAGTTAAACCATCCAGGAAATCGCTAAGACTTCTTTCAAGAGTTTGAAATTGAAAAAGGAGATGAAGGAATGAGCTTCTGTATGCAATATAATAGTGCTAGAACTACTAGTGCAATGCACGATGAAGAAAGGAACGGGAGGATGAAGAGGTATAGTTAGATTTTCAAGGATAAGGATATTGGAGCATATTGTTCTCACGAAGGTTGTGCCCCCAATTTTTTTCAAGGAAGTAGGAGCTTACCGGTGGGATTGGTGGTAACAAAGTCTCCCAATCCCACTTCTTCAAGGGAGCAAAGTGAGAGCTTCTTACTTAAATCATAGTATCAATTAGATAATGGATGATGAATATTCTCCAGAACATTTGCAAAGCTGAAGTCAATTACACTTTCAAGCCCTGGTCCCACTTGCCTGAGAATACTCTAAAGTATATTGTGGTTCCTTACAGGTACAGTACAAGAATCAGTAAATCACTGGCTGTCAAAGACACAGAACTTTTGGAATGAAGTCACTTCACCACTGGTAAAAACTGTAAATGATAAAAGAACCAGTTTTCATGATGATACGCAAGATATGGAGGAAGTATTCATGGCTGAACAGACTGTTGATAGCCAAACACCGAATGGTGATCTTTCTGTAGCTGCCATTCTTTCAATTGAGCAATTTAGCAGGTAAGTACATTTTATGGTCTCATATAATTGGAACCACTTATTTCTGAATCAAACTGCTTAATTTTATGTGTCTATCTTGGAAGTGCCTGCTGTAAATATTTTTTGGGTCCTTGTGTGCTGTGATGAATATCCTGCCAAAAAGGCAGCTCCCCAGTAGATTTAAGGTAATTTAGGATATCTTCTCATATCAAGAAGTCTGCCTCTTTATGTCTGCTGAGCATGTGCTCGAAAGGTTGGGAAAGTTGGGTGTGTAAAGAGTTTTCTGTGTTGGAAAGGTGTGTCACAGGGATTTGGCCTCAAGGTCAGGGGCAAATTATGTATTCGGACTAATTTTCTTAGATTAGTCAGATTCATGATAATTCTCCCGCATTTCAGTTTAGGTGAACCATTGATTGGACATGAAATTCAAAATGTTCATTTGACTAGTAAATAATAAAATTGGTAGTTGCTATTAAGGCGACACATGCAATGTTTTTTTAACGGAGAAAACATCATATTAAAGTACTGAACAAAAAGTACTTACAGTTTTTAAATTTGTGAAAGTTTCTAAAAGAGTTGCACATTTATTTCTACATTGTACTGTAGCAGCTGAAATGTGGAGTATGTTCTTCCCTGTTTTTGGAAGCCTGGGTCTTGCCTAATTGTATCTTTGAAGCATATGAAATCTGGTATTCATGGAGAGTTGGAAAATCCATCCAAAAAAACTTGGTTAATGGTGTGCCTGCTTCCATTTTTGTGGTGCACATGGAATGAAAAAAATTGTAGATGTTTGGATGGGATCTGAACTCCTACTTCCGTACTTAAAGTTAAGTGCTTATTGAACTTATTTTGTTGGCTCAATTAGGCCCGTGTATCTAGCTGTGATCATTTTTTGGATTGTGTTTGCTCCGTAGTATAGACTAGCTTTTGCATAGAAGCAGACACTATCTCTTTTTCATGTAATATTTTGTTTGCATCTTCTTGATGCTATTTAATGAAATCATCCCTACTTTATTAAAAAAAAATGCGATGGAGGGGGTAAAAAAATGTTAACCTCTCATCATGTGGCACATTTAAGCACATCCCAAACTTGGGCGTCTTATGGAAATACTAGTTAGGAGTGCAAAACTTCTTGATGAGGGAATTTTCGAAGTCTATCCTAATCACAATTTTTGGTTTGGTCATTGTCCTAAGTAGACATCCAAATACCCCACTCTATATATACAAAACTAGGATGATAAAACTATAAGGGAATAAGGGAGACACAAAATCATGGAGTGTGGAGGGTGTCTGTCTCAAAATACCTATATTCTCTTGAAATCCATACATAGTTAACTAATAAGAGAACAAAAAAGAAGTAGAGGATTCACATTGGCAATACCGACTAGTTAAGATAAAGATTTGTTCAGTGTTGGTACATTATAATTGGTTTGGTGCCGTTCAGGAGTTTGTTTAGTTTGGCCAGAGATTAATGTCTTTTTAGGGATGAGTGATGTTTTGAGAACTTTAAGTTTTAGAAACCCTTTTTTCTTTTATGACAGAAATCTGCACAACCTTCAGAACTCGGGGATGATGGGCTCACCGGTCTCTAATTTTACAAGACCCTTAATTGTCCTAAAAGAAACTTAGTGGTATTAGAATGAAATGTGCCTAAAATGGAACACCGGTGGATAAGAGGATTCATGTAGATGACTACCTAGGTTGGATTGAGAGTAGTTGTTATTGCTATTGTAGAGAGGGTGGAAATGGAGCGGGGAGAGTTTAATTGGTTTAAGGAAGAAATGTAATAAACTTAAAAAGTTGATCATGATATGGTGAAACATGTGTTTTAATACTCTTGGAGTTAGGTTCAAAAATCTTTTGACACTTTTGCACATCCTTGTCTTTGCAGCCTCTGCTCCTTTTAGGTAGTTATTCTTGCAATTGAGTGTTAAAATTGTGGACGTGAGCTTACCAATGTTTCCCTCTGTGGTTAGCTTCAATGCCCAACAAACCAATGATGAGTAAATATATGTTTTTAAATTAAAATGTGGACCTGTATATGACTTATGACAGATGTGCAGGATGAACGGATTGACTGGGCAGAAAATGCAGAAGATATTCAAAGCACTTGTTCCTGAATCTGTTCATAGTGATGCTCGCAGCTTGGTTGAATACTGCTGCTTTAGGTTTCTGTCAAAGGATACTTCTATCCTTCATCCTTCCCTGAAGGTTTGTTGCCTTAACTACGTGTTTCCTTTCTAGTCTTTCATCAGTTGTTTTCTTATGAGCATAACATGTATTCTTTTCCTTTATGAAACTGAAGTTCTTTTCAGAGAGTCTTATGCTCAGCTTACTCCTCTATCCCACATCCTCCAATCCTACTAAGGAGATCCCAATTTTCCATTTATTAGCTTTAGAGTATCATGAAAAGTTTCTTGTATGGTTTTGAACCCTATTCCTCGAGTGGTCTCTGCTGTGGGTGATCTACAGAAGACAAATCCAAAATGAAGAATAGAACATGTAACTCTTGGATGAAGTGAAGTACCTTGTGATCCTGTTAGTCTTCATCTCTTTTGATGTGGATGTTAAACTGTTTTAATTCTACTTTTGGTTTTGGTTTTATAAAAACAAAATCAATATCTTTTTGACAGTTTTTTTTTCCAATATCTTGCGTGATACTGTGTCTTTTATGATGAAGAAAAATTTTTGCTATTCCGTCGATTCAGCACAATCTGAAAGTTGCAGTCGGATCAGTAAATATTGGTTTGAACTTTTCAGATTATGGAAGAGGAGAAGTAAAACAATGATAGCATCCATGAAATCTCTCCTAGGTCCTCTAGGAATAGGAATGCTTCCAGTTAGTTTTTCTTTCCATGCTTAAAGTCTCTCTACAATTTTGCATAAAAGAAATATTAACTCAATATTTTCAGATAGGGATGAGTTGTAAAAGTTAAGATTTATCTCTTACTCATTCATTAATATGTTCATATGTGATTGCAGGAACCTGCATTCCAGAGACTGATTTTCGTAACTATGTTGGCGTGGGAGCAACCATATAGGAGTAGAGGAGATTCCCGAGTTAAATTTGCAGAGAAGCATTCTCTCCAGGTTCTTTCTCCGCTCTTTAGATCTTGTAGATGATAGGTTGTATGTGACATGGGCCACTTTAAGGGTAGGTTGTTGGCTTTAGGCTGTTAGTGTTAAGCTGTTAGTCTAACTGTAGATGCATTTTCAAAGACAGCTGATGGGTAAATAAGATATCATCACTCACAATTTTATGGCATCTTATATCACTCTTCTGATGATCTGTCAAAGAAGATAGATTTCTGGTGATTTTATGCGCTAGGACTAATATGGTCAGTTGATATCATCTTCGACCTCTAATCATCGTGCTTCTGCCAAGAATCGGCATATATTCTGTCTTTTCTTTCTGTTTTTTGCCTTCTTTTTTCTTTTTTCAGTTTGTTCTTGTGGTGTGGAAAGAGGGTAGGTTATTCTTTATATGCCAACCTTCTCTATTCTTTCAATGGTTTGTTTATTTCAGTAAAGATGCCTATTAAACTTAATCAATTAAGCTGAGGTTTTCTGGTGGTGCTCCCTGGATTTCTAACTTGGATTTGATAGATTGGGACATTGTCAACAATATGTTCTTTTGAACAGGAAAGATAGGAAAAAAGTCTTTTTTCCCTTTGTGCAGTCAGATCAAACTCGATTATTGAAGTTTTAACAAACTTCCCACTAAACAGAGTACAATTTTTGGAGGATGCTTGCTGTTTTCCAAGAACAATCTCAAACATTTAAACCTACGACTGAAACAGTGAATAGTTTATGGGTAAATGTGCTGTAAAACGGTGGATGATAAAATCCCTTTGCTGTGATAAGAATGCATTTTAGGGTGAATAAACTGGAAATGCTTGACATAGTCTTAAATATGAAAGTGAAGATGTAGTTGCTATATTCACTTCTATCTCTGGGTCAATTTTCAGGCTGGTGTAAGGACATTGCATTGTGTAGTGGCTAGTTCATTTTCTTTTTTCTAAACCATTTTGTATCTTTGAAGGATATATAGGGTGGACACTCCTTGGTGGCAATATCAATGACAATTATATTTATCTAACTATTAAAATTTACAAAAGAAATTGCTGAGAATTAAGAAGATGGAAAGGAGAGGCTGGAGGTGGATGCTGTGAGGAGCAAAATACTTTTGTTCTCAGTTATATGTAGTGCAGACCTCACTTTTGCTTTCCATGTATACTAATTTGCTTCCATGACGATCAAAATAAAAAGCTCTCCCGGATCTGCTAGGATATTAATAGTTTCAAGCTTGGAAAAGTGGCTTCTCCATTATTCATATGTTATATTTGTTCTAAACTAAGTGTTTCATGATTGTGCTTCACTGAGAAGTTCTTACTATGAACACAAATATATGAGTCAAACCTAAATGTATCTGTTTCTGCTGAAGCTAAAGAGGAGACTAGTTGGAGAAGAAGCTTTTGTTCGTATTGCTCCTGCTGTTGCTGGTATAGCTGATTGGACAACAGCACACAACCTTTTCAAAGCTCTTGCTGGTAATGATCGGGGCATCTCATTTACCTCATGGTCCACCTACATCTGTGAACTTCTCAAGTAAGCATCCTCTCTTTTGAGTACAAAAGTTTCTTCTAGTATGTTATGTGCATATCGTTGCGCAATTCAAATTTATGGTCGATTAGCAGCTCACATACACAAAACATCATAATTCATATCATAATTCATAAGAATATACAGGTTACTAATTTGACAAATCCAATGCTGTATTAGGATTTCTTGACAATGCATACTCTTATTCACTTTTGTTTCCTGAAATTTAAATTAATACAATCCCATAAGAGATTGTCATACTACTGAGTAACTATTTCTTCTTTTTTTAATAAAATATTAAATCCATGTAAAATTTATTCCACTTGACTATGAGAAGTAAGTGGTGTTTTTGCTTTCTTTGAGCCAAGGGTCTTTCGGAAATAGCCTCTCTACCTGACAGTTAAGAGACTAAGAGTAAGGTCTGTGTATATTCTATCCTCCCCAAACCCCAGTTGTGGGACTATATTGGGTATGTTGTTGTTGACTATGAGAAGTGAACTTATCACATAAAACTGAATAGGGAGAGTATTTAGCATTCATATGAATACATAGCCTCTGAATATTTCTTTCCTTTTCTTAACACTCAAGTTTTTTTTTGTATGATGATGACATGAGTTAAACTTAAATGGAGATACATGGTCAGTGAGGATTCAAATAGCCGACCCAACTTGTTTGGGACTGAGGAGTAGTAGTTGTTGTTGTCTTAACATTCTAGTTGTTTGAGTTCATTAGTATTTGTAGTAGTTCTATCCTTTTCAGTAATGGGGAAAATTTTGTTATTAAGGTTGATTTCTATTTATGATGAGAACTCTTAACTAAGCTTGTAATCTTGAAGTTACTAATATAATTCTTCTGATATTTCTTCTTAGAGTGCATGAAGGACGGAAGTCATACCAGTTTCAAGATCTCTCCCAGCTCCATAACGAGAGAATCTTGTGCATTGCTTCTGGCGGAAAACACCCTGTTCTTAAATGGGAGAATAATATGGCATGGCCTGGAAAACTAATTTTGACTGATAGGGCCCTCTACTTTGAGGTACTCATTAATAACTATATACTTCCAATTTCCAAAGAACTGTGTAAAGGTCTCATGAGATGTTCTTAACCCATCACTGTTGATGGAAATATCTTTCTTGTAATGCAATTTCTTCATTCTCGAGTGTAAACTTTAGTTGGTAGTTCCTTTCAAGTTGTGAAAATTGAGGCAATTGGATAATGATATTCATTGGGTTTGGCTAGCTGAACATTTTGTACATTACTTACTGTATAATAGACTCTTCTGTCTTGCAGGCAGTTGGTTTGACAGGAAAAAGAAATACATCAAGATTGGATCTTACAGGAGAAGGTTCAAGCATAAAGAGAACAAGAGTTGGGCCTCTGGGCTTTGACTTTCTAGATTCTGCTGTATCTGTCACTTCAGGTCCTCAGTGAGTAAGCTTCTCCAACCAATTCCATGTGGACTATATTATTTCCTTTCTGTTTTACTTTGGATAGAACTTTTGTTGGCATCTCCCAAGCCTTAAGTAGAGCCTCAAATTAGACCCACAACTGCATGACAGTACATACATTTAATGGCCACCTGTCAATTGTTTCAGGTTCTTAAAGATCACAGATAAACAAAGTTCCATCCTTAGAACAAATAGCTTTCTAAAAGTTAGTGCTCACTTTTACACTTCTTCCTGTTTTATCACATCTAGGATAGACCATTTTCATTATCTGATAGAGACAAGAAGAGATTGCCTGTGTCAACCATCTTTTTTTTTTTTTGATGAAGTAAATTTTTTTATATTATAGGCATCAAGAAGGTGCAATAAGTACAAAGGGGGAAGGAGAAATCCAAAATCCAACAAGTTAATTGGGCAATCTATAGGGGCTAAATTCTGCCAACTGAATAACCATAAAAAGACATCTAGCTTTAAGAGTGTGGTGAGGAGTCGATAACCCGTCAAAGCATCTGTCTGTTTTTTCTTTTGATATGTTATATATAGCCATAATAAACAAAAATGTCTTATTAAGTAATTAAACAAATTATAAGAAAACAAAAAAGTTAAAATTCAGTAAGAGTTGGGTGGGTTGGACTATATGAACCATTGTTCAGCCCATTTTGCCCATTTCAGCCAAAGTAACATTTGTAGGGGTTAATGACCTGCCCATTTGATACACCTAATCCTAACTTCAAGTTTCACATATGCATGCCAATCTTAAAAGGAAGTACGGTAACTAATCACCAAAATATCATATGACTAACTAGTAAATTGTATCTGATCTGAATCGTTATATCTCTCGATTTATCTTATTAGGTACTTTGTCAAATTCATTTCGCCCTTGTGGATAGAAATCTTCCCAAGTTTCTTCTTTATCCCAATTAATGCAGGCAAATTTCATACTTTGATTGGAGTCTAGATTTGCATGTTAGACTTGTTGATCCTAAAATTATTTGTCCTGTCCCGTGTTTATAGTTGACTATGCAGGTCCTCTGACTGGAAGTAAAGTTTCATAAGATTTCTGTTCTATTCGTTTATTTTCCTTCTGTAGCTTGTTTGGATGTCAAGTTCTCCCTGCAACATCTTTCTGGAGAGCAAGTTATCATTTAATTTATGTGCTTTTATTTTGAATTTCTTGTGTTTCATGTTTTGATTAAGAATGGGATGTTGCTATATGAAATATCCAGCTTTTTTATTTTAGCTGATAAAAATTGCTTGTTGATATATTATGTTCTAATTTATGGTACTCATATCAGGTCAGATACATGGATATTAGAATTTGTCGACTTTGGAGGAGAAATGAGACGGGATGTGTGGTATGCATGCATCAATGAAGTAATTGCTTTATACGAGTTCATACGAGAATTTGGTCCGGAGGAAGGTGATCAATCAGTATACAATGTCTATGGTTCCCAGAAAGGGAAGGCAAGAGCAATTTCGTATGCTACCAATGCTGTTAAGAGACTTCAGGCTCTTCAATATGCTCGAAAGCTCTTGGAGGATCCAACTAAATTGGTTCAGTTCTCATATTTGCAAGATGCACCTTATGGTGACATCGTTTTACAAACTCTAGCAGTTAATTGTTGGGGTGGACCATTGATTGCAAAACTTACTGATCAGGATTATCAATCAGGGGGATCACCTGGATCCACGAATGATGCAACAGAAAGTAGTAGTTATGTGTTTGACATAGATGGAAGTGTGTACCTACAGAAGTGGATGAAGTCTCCATCATGGGCTTCTAGTGCTTCACTTGCTTTTTGGAAGAACCCCCGATCGAAACGGGGAATAGTTTTCAGTAAAAATCTTGTTGTTGCTGATATGAATTTGATGGAAAAAGCAGCATTGATATGTAGAGATAAATATCAAGTAGTAGAGAAAACGCAAGCCACAATTGAAGCGGCAATGATTGAAGGGATACCTAGTAACATCGACCTTTTCAAGGTTATCTTGTCCCTTTCCTTTTCTGCTGTTTCTGTCTGCAATTTTTTCTGATTTTTGGATTAATTAGTCTGCATTTATACATCTCGTAACTCCAGAATAATTAATCATTTTTTTGGTAATTCGTTTAAACATTTAAATTCTCTGATATAGTTAGGGCAAAATAAGCATGTTATATTCTGTAAGATTGCTATACTGATAGGACTTGCACTAAAATTAGAAATTAGAAATGCTGAAGAATACAACTTTACCTTTATAATTTTTTTTTAGTTATTTTTGAAAAAATAGAAATACAAAGAAATTTAACTAATATCTGAAGGGAACTTTTTATATTCTTCAAATGTAAGCTCAGACTTGATTTAGAATTTGCTACTTTGTTGCCCGGAGTTTAGTGTTAAGAGGTATTTCATTGTTTGTGATCCATCTAAGTCCTTATTTTGCTTATTGTCCTATATAGGAGACAAACTGGGTACCTGCCATAAGCATCGAGAATCGTTAAGTAGAAAAATGCCCTGCAGCACTTGTTGTTTCTGTATAAAATCATCACTTATAGTTGCTTAGGATTACTTGAAACTTCTGCTATTTTGTTTTGCCCAAGATAGGCAGAAATGTTGATACTATCTTGTGCTCGGCAAAATTATAGAAGCCTCACTTGTACCCAAAGGCGTGACTTAGCAGTCGATGGAGTTAGAACAAAGACCGACGGAGGTCAGGGTTTCCATTGCTAAAGTCTTGTGGACAGAGTTACCCAATACCTGTATTATGGGAAGATACAGTTAGCCAGTGAAATAATGAAGGTGCACACGAACTGGTCAAGTCACAACCTTTATAAAGTTTTAAAAAATAATTATAGAAGTCTCACTAGTTATAGCTATTGTTACTGTTTCATGGACGATGTGCTTGTGGTTATGGCTTAAAATCAGGCAGCTTTTCTTCTTTCTTTTCTTTAGAACTGAAATTTCAAGGACTTTACTTCACTTGGTGGGGGGTTAGACCATGGCGACACAACATCTAACCAGGGTTTACTTTTCCCTTCAAGAAGAAAAAAGGGTAAAAGTTCAACCATGATTTGGAAAAGGAAAAAGACCAACCATGATTTGCTAAAAGAAAAGAAAACAACCTCAAAAGCTCGTACTAAGATTTGAAAGGTAAGTATAAATCGATGGTCTTAAGTTGTGGATATTTTGAGCCTCAACCAACCTTGATGAATTGGCATATGGCCTGGGAGGAGGTACTGTTTGGAACCACTTGACTATAAGACTTCCATTGACACATTTTCCTTGTAAAATAGGAATAATTGTGATTATGACAGTCATCTGACATTCTACATAGTGACTATGTGGAAGAAGACTGGACTCGGAGCTTGATGTGAAAGGGATGTGCCGCTGTACGCTTTATCTATTGAGAATATTGAAACTACTAATGATATTGTTTTTTCATTTTTTCTTGAAAGAAATTTGCTAAAACATCTTGTTATGTTCTTGGGTTTACAACTTCAGCCTTGTTGTATGTTCTCTGTGTTTTTCTAATTCTACAAGTTCATTCTTTTATTATTAATATTGATTATTAATTTTCTTCCCCTTTCTTGGCAGGAACTTGTGTTTCCTTTAACAGTTATGGTAAAAAACTTTGAGAAACTTAGGCATTGGGAGGATCCCCTATTAACTGCCTCTTCTCTTGCACTCGCATATACGATTATATTCAGGTAAAGTGCATTGTGGTATGTTGTGAAATTTACTTGCATCGACCATCAGTATCTGGTTTGCCTGTACACGTTAATGTTTACTGATATATGTGGAAGCATTTTATAGCATACATATATGACCTCTAAGTCCAAATGAATATTTACTTGTCTCTGGAGAAAATTTCACCACTGTTCTTCATGATTTTTATCTTTTCTGGAACCATATGAACTTGCAATCTCCTGGGCTTGTTGCTATCTTGCAGGCAACTTTTTGTTAGATTTATGCTAATTAAAGAGACTGTTTAAGTTACCATTCTAAACACATCCCAAATGATTTTCACAGTTTTGTCATCTAAAATTAACCAGCTTCTGAAAATCATATTCATATACAATACTGAAGAGTGAAGAGTTCCATTTGCAGGAAGGTTCATGTGAAATGCTACATTGTGTTGTACTCTTAAATGTTTGCGTATTCGAAAAAATATAACATTGTATAAGTTTCAAATACTGTGTTGTTTTAGAGGATTATGTACAGTGTTCAAGAACCTAACTAAACTGTATATATTTATACTATCTTCACTTACCATGTAAAATAAAGAAGGATAATGTACAATGTGAAGTGAGTATGACACATGAATATCTATACATAATAAGGGTGAATCGTGGTAATTTATTGCTGACTGTTAAATTAGTTACTTTTGTTTTTGAGCATGCTCCTGAAGTTATTCTTTGTGTGGTTAATTATCTTTCTTAATTACATTGAGTTTTTTGACACTCAGTTTTCTGGGATCAGGAATATGCTATCTTATATTTTACCAGCAATGTTGATGGGCTTGGCTGCTGGCATGTTATTACTCAAGGGGCTCAAGGAACAAGGACGGCTTGGGAGATATTTTGGAAAAGTAACCATACGTGATCAACCACCATCAAACACACTACAGAAAATTATTGCAGTTAAAGAGGCCTTGCGTGAAGTTGAAAAGTATCTGCAGAGCTTGAATGTGTCGCTGCTCAAAATTCGAGCAATTATTCTTGCTGGCCAACCTCAGGTACTTCCAATCTAACCCAGGTTGCACCATAAACTGGTCTCTTATCACTTTCAGTGGCCAAAGGATGAATTGAAAAATATTGCCACTGATAGGCTTAAGATGTGTGCTACTGACATGCATGCTAAGAACTGCTAAGAATAGCTTAGGAGTGTGATACTTCTTAATAGCCCCATCAAGAGTATATGCCTTCAATTATTTGATTCATGATAGCTACTTAGAAAAGATATTAGAACAAGTAAAGGAGATAGATTATGTGAACCCTCTCAATTCCCTCCTTAATAGCAGAGACATCAATCAATTGTTTCCCTCAAAAAATTTGGTGGACAGTTGGAACTACTTCTAGTATATTATCATGTCCTAGAGTGTGGTTGCTCAGGTGATATATCTTTTCATTCTGAACAAAAATGCAATTTGCTCTTAATGTTCTCACTCCATTTCTGTAATGAAGTAAATATTGTCCTATTCAATTGATCTATTTAAATTGGTTCAAACCCAATAGGTAAAACTGTATGTGAATTTTTCCCTAAGCCGGTAGGCAGATTTATCTACGGTGAGAGGTAGCAAAGACCAGTTGAGTTGTTGAGGTGCGCACACGCTAACCTGCACACAACCGTTACCAAACAAAACAAAAGAAAAAATCTGTTTGCTAATCTTTAACCCTTCTCTGTGGTTTTAGCATACTAATTAGTGAATACTCGAACTCTTAAGGTTCTTTTTTCTTTAAGATCATTTCATTCTTGATGGGCATCAGTGAAAATACAGCTAGTCCCCTTGTCCAGATCCACTCATCATCTCAAGAACCTTCCTCATCCCTCCAACCACTTGCTGCTCTATCCCTAGTGCTGACTACTCACAACTCCCATTGCCTAATTTAAAGCCAATAACCCTCTCGTCATATCCCCCTCCTTACCCTCATTCTGACAATATCTATTTGAATATTGGAGGACAATTCCAGCATGCATCTGGTGGACCATTTGGAGAGAAAGGAATGCTAGAAACTTTGAGGATAGAAGCAGATCCCTACAAATGATCAAAACAGATTGTATTCTGTTATTATGTTTTTGGTGTACAAAGAGTTCCCCTGTAGATTGAGAAGCAATCCTAGAAGTATTAGAATCATGCTAGGCTTGTTTGTTTTTGTTCCTAGATTTTCGTACGTTTTTGTAAAGGGGCTTTCAGTACTACATAAGTACTGGTTTATAATACAAATCGTTACCTTCTCAAAAAATAATAATATCTATTTGAATATTTCCTCTTCCATCTTCTATTTTTGGAGGGACAACTAGAAAGACTAAGAGAAAGCTGTTAAGTTATAAACCCAAAATAAAAACTTTTTTCTTAAAAAGAAAAAGAAAGTAGGATCTATCGATCATTAGACATTTGTATTTATCTTAAGTATTTGACTAGATATGCAAGAAAGAAAAAATGGATGTTTAAACTTGATAAATGAGTTGTTTGGGTCAATTCCTGCTCCCCCGCCCTCGTTTGAAACTTCATCACATTCGAGATCATGAACACTCAAAAAAGTTCACGAGCCCCTAACTTGCACCACACCTAACAATCAGTTCTTTTGAAAATAAAAAAATAAAAAAAATTAGTTCTTTTGAAAATGTTCGATTATGTTGGATCTCTTTTAATTGTTTTAGGGGCTCAGTTGTGCATGTTCTGAGTTTGATGAGATTATGTCCAAACCGTTTCTCTGTGTATGGTCTACTTTGGGTAATTAATTTAGGGGCTCAATTAATTCTTAATGCTGACTCTGCTAGGTATGATTGCACCTCTGGATTGTAGTGTTAATTTTTTTCTAATACTCTATATTTTTTTTTACTTAATTGAGTTAATTTTCATAACCTTTGTCAGATTACGATGGAAGTTGCTCTGGTTCTACTATTTGGTGCAACCATTCTCTTAATTGTTCCATTCAAGTATATAGCTGCTTTCCTGATTTCTGATGCATTCACCCGAGAACTCGCGTTCCGAAGGCAAATGGTTTTGAGATTCATGAGCTTTCTGAAGGAGCGGTGGGAAACAGTGCCAGCCACCCCAGTTGTTGTACTACCATTCGAGGGTGATGAGTCCAATGCACCAAACCAAAGAAAGGAGTCCATCAATGACGGAGTAAAATCAGAGAAACAGTTAAAGCAGTAGGTTATAGTAAATCTTCTTTTAGGTAACTATCTTTTCTCTTTTTCCTTTTTTCTTTATAGTAGGTGGTTACAGCAGGTGTGACGGATCGAAGATTGAAGCAGAAACAGTTTTTTGCCCTTAAAAACAGTATCATTTGGGTGGGATTTCGTAGTTTTGTTTCTTGGAACATAATGTGATTGATTTTATATGATAAATAATATATATATCCGTCTAATAATTTCTCTTGGGGGTTTTTAATCCATGCATCATATCAAGAAAAATAGATAAAAATCCTGACTGCTATTTAGTATTGGCAATAGGTATCGTCTGCTAAGGAGGAAGAGCATAAGAATGTCTTGTTTTCGTCAATGGCCTTTTTAAGATTCGTTGGCTGAAGATGGCCTTTTTAGAAGTTGTTACCATAGAAGCCACTTCTTTCCTGTGATCTCATTACACTCTTTTCTTCTTCCTTTTTCTTTGTGGTGGTGGTGGTGGTGGTGTGGGGGGTTGCTGGAATTTTATCACTTTCAAAGCATAAAAGAACAGTATCCCAGACATACAGTTTTGCTGAGAATTAGAAGCTTATGCACTTTGGGTCAATGGCCAAATTTTGATGTTTTCACACTAGTGATTAAAATTTCAAAAGACAAGGAAATGCAATCAAAATCCTATATGAATGAGAAAAGTAAATGTAGTTGCGAAGGTGCTCAAAAAGATAAGAATCTGTACTATTTCTGTCAAAACATCAATCCTCCAAGACTTATCACTGTTGTCAATCCAACCATCAGTAAATGTCTTGTTTTAAAGAGTGACTTCAATCCATATGCTCCATTACAAGTCACATTCTTGCCATGATTTGTGCACTGTGTCTGGTTCTGGTTCCTGTTATCCAACACAGAGAATCTTAAATCAGCAAAAGAGCATCCAAGTGTGTAGTCTAAAACCAAACAAGGGAAAAAAATGCTCGGTGATTTCTTCGATTTGTTCAAGTCTTGATGGACAGAGTTATCCTATACTTGTGCTGGTGGAATAGTCAGAGTGCGTGCAAAATTGTGCAATTGAGAAGGATTAGAATTGTTTACCTTGAAGAACAAAATGACACAACATAGTCCGTAGAAGAGCAAGTGATGATACTAGTTGGGTCATCAAAGGCAAAGCTATAAGCCACAGGGCATGCTGTCTTGAAAATCCTTGAATAGTTTGTAGGCAAACATGAAACTGGACTACTAAATGTACCTCTGCAGCAATATTCATCGGTGTCAAAGACGTTACATGCACTCCGGCAGGCGATTGTCTTGCCGTCCGACTTGAGAGCTAGCTCAGAAGGGCAATTTGGTCTGAGATCACTGTCACATCCAACAGAACTGCAGTTTCCTTTGCCATTTACAGGTTTCACAACTATAGGCAAGTTGAACCCATCCACAAGGCTAACATCGTAGAAATCAGTATCTCCAAGGGTAAATTCGGCAATTGAAGCTGGAGGCTGACCCGGTTCACGACATTTTAAGCCGGTCCCACACCTACCGGTCTGGCACGTGCCATTGTCATTCTTGTCAAAGTCACACCCGGTTCGACCCCATATACGGCCGCTCCACCCGGCCGGGGCGGTAAAGACGGCAGACTGGCCTTGTTTCAGCTCATAACCATCTCCACTGAAATTGTTCTTGGGTGTAATTCCAGGCCATACTGTCTCTACGCAGTAGTTTATAATGGTAATATTTGTACACTCGGACAATTTTACCCCTGTCACACTAAATTGTGTCAATATCCGAAAAATAAAAAAAGATTCTAAAAAAATTACAATATCAAATATACATAATTCAGGAGAGAAAATAAATACGATATTGAATCCTTCTATCTATGTGGTGAAGGGTTGAGGAGCTCACTTGGTGAGCTACCTCGCTAACTTCTTTCTATCTTATTATAAAGCGAGTGAAAGAAGGAGAGAGAGAGTATATTGTGTTATACCTAAGGCAATAGCAAACAAGAGAAACCAAACATTGAAAGATGAAGTGAAGTGAGAAGCCATGAATATGCAACACTACTAAGTAGTAGTAATTGTGAGTTAAAAAGAAGTGAAAGACAAGTGAGTATTTATATATACATATATGTATTTCAAGTTAGAGAAGAATACGTGCAGAAGAGAGTGAACATTAGAGGAATAAGGCTTCCTTTCTTCTTCCTTAAATCAGACGATTCCTTACCTCCGACCATTTTTTCCCACTTATGTGTTCCTTACAATTGTCTCTTGTACTATTTATATGCTTTTATATCCAAGATTATTAATTTAATATAATAATAAAAGTGTGTAAGAATCGTGATGGCTAAATTTTCTTTATTTATACAATGTATTACGAGAGAAGCTGATACCCATTAAAAATATAATAAATAAAGCAATAAACAAAAAGGTGAATTTTGCTAAATCTATTTCCATTCATTCAACAAAATAATGTTACAAACAAATTCAACTTCTCTGAAATGAATAAGTAGTTTATGATCCTTCGATCTTGATTCGAGTTTAGGGAATAAAGAAACTTTTGGTAAGAAGCGTTTTACTCTTTTAATCCGAAAGGCAGTATGTATCTAGTGATCAATGATATGTCAAATTGATACTTTTGGTTTGGTCCTTTTCAGCAATAGTGGAAGCTTAGCGCATTGGGCAATCACAACAGCTTATTCTTGTTTACATCTTTCCTCTTCTTTGCATAATTTTTGGAATGAAAATCAAGGAAGAGTGTCAAAAGGGAAGCATTGAAAACTGCATTGAAGCACCATCCATGGATCCCGGAGCAACCCGACCCGGTAAAGTGATAATACAGCATCAAACCCGAGATCAGGAAACTGAAGACGAATTGTACAATCTGACAGTTGGTTACCAATCTCTTCCACCATGGACGAAATCCCAAGGTACACAGGAAGTAATAAGCGTACATTAGCACATGAACAGAAGCATTGGTAACAAGCGCCACCGGAAACAGAGTCTGGGACGAAGAAAGCCACAAATAACACATGACTACCACCACGGCGTGGTGGTACACATGGAGGAACGACAGCCGTCTAGATCTAGACCCACTGAGAATTATCAAAAGGGTGTCTACAAATTCAACAATCTTGGAGAAATAGAAGATGTAAGCCCAGAAGAATACGGGTCCACGTGGGGGAGTCTGATTAGCCGGGAAGCAAATGACCCAAGTCCAATCATTTTGGGGCATTTGGTGGAAGGCGGAGAGGGAGCATCCGACGGCCATGATTAGTGAGAGAATGAAGAGGAACAGGTTGTGGACGGCGGAGATGAAGCGGAGGGAGGCGGGGGAGAGTGTGGGGAGAAGAGGGAAATAGTGGAAAGAGAAAGTGAGAGTGAGGTAAGTGAGGACAGTGAGAGCGAGGAAAAGAAGCGAAGAACCGAATGTGGAGGTTTGATTCCATTCGAAATTGGTGATGATTGGATGATTGACAAGCCAGTATTCAACGGTGGAGTAGAGAGATTCCATTTCTGAATCCGTACGCCGGCGACAATGGAGGTTTATCTTTTATCTGTTTGATAAAATTGAGATGATAAGAAAGAGATTGGTCAACTCGGAAATTTGACTTGGCATCTATAGAAACACGTCATCCCTTCGGATAGATGCTTTTTATTTTTTGGTCACTTTTATAGTACCTAACCTATATTACTTTAAATTGATGACTAAGGTTCTTTAAAATATTACTCTCTCCGCTAATTTTTATTTATCACAATTTAATTTAACACATTCATTAAGAAAATAATTATTAATATAAGTATTTTTATCAAATTATCTCATCTAAATGGTGTCTTGAAAAATAAGTATTTAATATTAAGGATAAAACATGATTTTTTTAAAATCTTTTCTTGATATAAAGTGAAATTTTATTTAATAAATAAGTGACAAGTAAAAGTGAACTGAAAGAGTATAGATAAGTAGAAGTAAATGGTGGGGGATTAATACTCTCTCTATCCAATAATACTTGTTCACTATTGACTTTGCACACTCCTTAAGAAACTATAGTAGAATGATACAATGTCTTGAAAAATGTAATAGAAAAATGACTACAATTAAGGATATGGTAAATTAGGAAATAAATGTAAAATTATTTACTGATTCTATAAAGTGGACAACTATTGGATGAAGGGAGTAATTGATCATTCATTAAAATAATTGAAATTGTTTATTATTTTCTTCAAATAATTTTAATTACTATTCTAGAAATTTAATTAAAATTATCGCTATTAAATTTTTATTAATTTGTAAAAATTAAAAAATTCCTAATATATAATACTTTAAAATTGACTACAACTTTATTTCTTAAATCTATCTTTATTTGAACAAAATATTATTCACAATATTTTAGAGAGAAAATGACATAAATAGTCTCTTTAACTATAGGAGTAAGTCTAAAATGGTCCCTTAATTATATATTTAACGGATTTAGTCCTTTAACTATTTAAAAACTTATCAGCTTTGGTTTCTTAACTATACACTTACCGGTTTTAGTCTCTTAACTATAAACTTACCGATTTTAGTCCTTTAAGTATTCAAAAACTTATTAGGTTTGATCTTTGTCCATTTTCTTAATACATATAGCGTAGGTTTATATTAATGGAATTCATGCCTCGAGAAATTAAATCCTTTAGCAATTTTTCTATTGTTTCTCTCTCTCCGCTACTTTTTCTTCAAATTAACCTTATGCGAAGAACCTTAACCTCAATGATTTAAAATAAAATTCACGAAGAAAGAAAATGTAAGTCATAATTTTATTCAACAGAGGATAAAATGAAGCATATTATTGCTACTAATGACTTGAGCTAAACTTTATTATAAAAAGAAAAAAACTATTACCCGTTAAATCCAAAGTTTGTACTCCAACGACTTCATTGAATGAAATTTGTTTAATTTTCCAGAAATTGAAATTTATAAAATGGTAGATTTGTAATTTTTTAAAAATAGATCAATCTTATTATTCTATTCATTTTATTTTACGTAAAGAAATTTGAGTAAATTAAATAAAATCCGCACTAATTAGCATATTCGAGTGAGGATTCAAGTCATTAACAACAATTATATGCTTAATTTTATTCTCCACTGAATAAAATTATGACTTATATCTTCTTTCCTCATTAATTTTAGGGGAAAATGGTCAAAAATACCCCCTCAACTTTGGTTTATTGTTTGACTATGCCCTCGCCGTTAAAATGAAGTTATTTTTACCCCTCCCGTTACTAATTTCACCAAATTTACCCGTCAATTGACAGAAATCCCCAAATTGACTCAATTTAACCCAAATTTAAAAAAAGACCCATTCCCCATTTTAAACCCAATGCCCGACCCGTCCAAAGTTGAGGGGTATTTTTACCCTTTGCCCTCAATTGGATGTAAAATCCAAATCAACTAAAATTACCCAATTTCAAGAAAATGACCCGATTTTCTCTTTTAATCCGACCCCGACCCATTTATATCAAATTAGAACCCTAAACCCATCTCTCTAATCTTCTCCATCTCCTTCTTCCATTGAAACACATACTACTAAAATTGACAACAAATATTTTGTAGTTAAACTCATGCATATTTGTCCTTCCTACTAAAATTGCACCACTATTTCGTAATTTTGACACAGAACCCCATCTGCCTTCACCTGGCAAACCTCATGAAACCATTTAGAACCACCTGCACTTTTTAACAGGGAAAAATATTCAGCTAAAAATGACAGAGATATTTACGGAGGAAATATGAAGTTAAACAAATACTCGAATGAAAATAGCAATCAATGTCATCCTTGACTGCAATGAAAATCCCATCCAAGAATGACAATGGGTTTCCTCCATGACCATATTCAATAGAGGAAGTATATGAAGAAGATTAGAGAGATTTAGCACGCTAGTGTGGTCGGAGCTTGGAGCTCGTTCAATCATCGGATTTTGCTTTACTGCGGGCAGATTTGAAACTATGATATTGCTTGCTTGTTGAGCCTAGCCAGATATGAAGTTGTGGTTGTTGTTTTCGAGCCTTGATTCTCGCGTGTTTGTGTTGTTGGTTTGATCTGTTAGCGGTGCTTCAGTTGTTTTCCAATGGGGTTTTGGTCGGGGGTTTGTTGGTTAGTTGTTTGGAGGTCGGAGAACTGGTGGTCTAGTGGTCATTTGTTGGTTGTTTTAGCTTGGGTGATAGAGGTCTGGGTTCTGGTGGGCTGAAGTGTGGTTTTACCACTGGATTTTGGCGTGGAGGGGGTGGTGTTTGAGAGCTATTTCAGGTTGGTTTCACGGCTGTTTGAATGATTTCGACGGTGGGTGGTTTGCTTAATGTTGTTCCAGCTTGGAACTGGCCGGAAATGGAGAAGAAAGATCTTGTTGTCGTCACCGGAAAGTAGAGGAAAATGGTTTTGTTGTTAATGTTTTCTGCTTGATGTCGTTTCTGGTTTTTGGGGGTTTTGAGGGGTGGTTTTAGGTGGTCGTTTGGAGGTTGTTTTGGTGGTGTTTTGCCAGAAAACGGAGAAAATGAATGGGGATTTCCAGAGCTTGATTTGGGGTTTTAATTTGGTATAAATGGGTCGGGTTCGGATTAAAAAGAGAAAAAATTGGGTTATTTAATTGAAATTGGGTAATTTTAATTTATTTGGATTTTTCATCTAATTGAGGGATAAATTTGGTGAAATTAGTAACGGGAGGGGTAAAAATAACTTCATTTTAACGGCGAGGGCATAGTCAAACAATAAACCAAAGTTGAGGGGTATTTTTGACCCTTTTCCCTTAATTTTATTTTGAATCGTTGATGTATTGTTCTTTTTATAAGAGTAGTTTGAAGAAAAAAGGATGGGGATAGAGAAGCAACTTAAAAAATGGGTTAAAGATTTAATTTTACAAAGATTTCCGTTAATATAAATCTAAGCTATTTGTATTTAAAAAATGGACAAAGACCACTTGATAAGTTTTTGAATACTTAAAAGACTAAAATCGGTAAGTTTATAGTTAAGGGGCTAAAACCGTTAAGTGTATAGTTAAGGGACCAAAGCTGATAAATTTTTAA